AAAAATATTATTTCGTCAGGAACGTTTTTCCCGACTAGCCCCGCATCGTGCCATAAAAAACTTCGTTTCAATAAAGATCCGTGTAATTATATTTACACGTGATCCATATAAGAGTATCCGTGTATATACGTTAAAAAATACATGGTTTTAAATACACGTAAGCCCTAAATATTATATTTTATATGACGATAATTAATACCTCGATTAATAATCAATTTAATTAAGATATCATTATCATTATAATATAATATTCGCGGAACTTTTAACTTGATTAATAAATTATTAACAAGATACGACAAGATAGCCTATATAAATATATAATATTATAAAATAAAATATAATAATAATGATATAATATATTATATTGTATTTTAGGTGAATGGTGTGTTTTCGAAAATGAAAAATGTTTACAATTTGATAACCACAGTGAAAATAAAGAGAGAGTAATCATTTTTAGTAGGTACGTTAAACAATTTGAAGTTATTAACATAAATGCAAATACCTGGTATATGCAGATGGAAATTTTGGATTAGCTCCGAAACATTTCTCGCAACTCTACATCATACGAATTGAAAAATATAGTGCGTTCTTTACTGTTTACTTGAAAAAAAAAAATCAATCTATTTACGAAATAATGTTCAAAGCTATTTTATCAGTCTGCGAAAAGAATAATCTTTTCCAGATCCACAAAATATAAAAATAGACTTCGAAAAGGCAGTAAAAAATGTATTAGGTGATCATTTAATAATAAACGGATGTTTCTATCACCTGTGCCAGAGTACTCAAAGAAAATTGGCAGAATTAGGATTAAAAAAATACCAAGAAGATTGTGATTTTAATGAATTCTGTGGTATGTTCTTGGCTTTTTTTACCACTAAATAGGTTACAAGAAGGTGTTGAATATTTAAAATTAATTATTTCTCTTGGTGCCGACTGCCGAGGAGTTATTTCAATATTTTGACGAAACCTACGTGAGTGGAACAATACGGCGAATAAATAAACAAAACACTCTAAATTTAAGCGTTCGACGTTTTCCAGCGATGTTTCCTCCGGAAACTTGGAATGTTCACCGAACAACACTTGAAAATAACCACCGAACCAATAATGTTTGTGAATCATGGAACAATCGATTTTGTCATTTAGTTGGAGGAAAACACCCATCGATTTGGACGTTAATAACCAAAATAAAAAATTAATTGTCGGCAGACTGTGCAAAATTTGCTCTGCAAAACATTGGAGAGTCCAAAACAAAATGTACAAAATCGAAAACCGTGCAAAAAAGATTAAAAACCTTATGCGAACGGTTAAATATTAACCAAATTGAAGTGGATAGGTACATATTTAAAAAAAAATTATTTAAATTTAAGAAAACGATTATAAAATAGATACCTATTAATATTATTGACATTGTATTACAAATATTTTATACCAAATTATTATATTATTGAAACTGAAATTGACAAATAATTGTATTGTATTCCACATTTATGGTAAGTATTTTTTACTTATGTATTATAGACATTGTACTACAAATTTATACTTTATTATATTTATACTTACAAATCATTTTTATTATAGGGTTTTTTTTTCCATTGTTCTTTTTTTAGGGTTATTTTTTCCGGGGTTATTTTTTAGGCAAATCGTGTGGACGTGCCTGAAAGTTGGCATGTATGTATGTGTTTTATGAGGGAAAAGGATTAAAGGAACATAATAGTATAATATGTGCTTGCGAACTGTTGTTTTTTAAGTTACCCATTTTGGCTGGTCAAAACTTTTGCCCCCTCTATTAAAAACTGAATTATGCTGACCACTGTACTCTTCAGTCATCATTGATATTTATGGACCTTAATTAGTATTGTAATTTGTAAATTATATTATAATTAAGGTCAGATATGGCATGTAATTCATTTAAATAACCTTTGAAGCACCGAGCATGGGCTTTGGTTTCGATTGTTTCATGTTTGGAAGTAGGTAATTTATTTAATTTGTAAATGTTACCAATCGGTACTCTCCGTGGGTCTGGTGGGTAATGCTCTAATAGACACGGGTAAAGACAGAGGCCATTTACTTTCCATAGCTGATAAATTATAATAGCTAGTGCCTAGTCATGTATTTATTAAATTTGTTTTGTGAAATTGAATTTTGGTAATTAATGAACAAAGGTAGGAAAATATATATTTGAACGATTATTAACGATTTTTCATATACGTCTTGTCTTGATAAATATTTGTATAATTTGTATTAATTCTGTATTTATTCCAATTGGAAAGAAAATGGTGGCTGTCTTTACCTGTTCTTAAAGAGCCCTAGTCCTATATAGTATAGGTACCTTTTTTTTTTTTTTAAAGGAACGGGTGGGAACTGTTTAGCACAATACTGCCACCCGAACCCGTATCATTTATTCACCGTTACAATAACAACATACAACAGCAGGCTATAACATACATACGCGGGGGCCTCTAACCACCCTAGGTATTTGGCCTTCGGCAGTTCGGCCCACAAATTCAGTCACCATTATAATATTAATAAGCGCGCCTGCCTAACCCGCTCTGCACCCTCTTTACGCCCGAGAATCGCCTCCACCATTCTGCCCAACGATAACCTCAGTCCCTCCGCCTTCGCCTCGATAATATAGTATAGGAGGTACCATAGAGTAATAAAACTAGGTACCTATACTCTGTTCCAAAAGAGAACGGTCACTTTTCGAACATACAACTTACGGCTATGGCAGTGCAAAGGCCCAACATCCACCACCTTGCTAGCAGACGTTTCTCGAAGATGTTGACGATTGCCGGCTAGAAAAGGGGAGGGGAATTTTGGCCTTTGCACTGCCGCAGCCGTCAGTTGTTTACGCGAAAAGTGACCGTTCTCTTTTGGAACAGAGTATAGGTATCTACTATCTACTATTCTACTCACAATTTTATTATACGAATCACCTACTATTTTTTTTTATAGGGTTTCCAATTAAAATCTGTACGTATTCATTTTTTTGCTTTTTTGGCTGCACTGTATATGGAACGTTAATTTTTTGAATTTTCAAAATGGACGAATTGAGAAATAGTTGATAACGATAACCGAAAAAAACAACATTCTAAAGTCTATACAGTAATCACTATTCACATTTCACTACTCAGTATTTTACTAATCACATATTCATTATTCACAATTCACATTTAATTTTTAATTTTTTAATGTAACATTATAAACGATATGGAAGTAACTAATAAGAATAAGTGAATACTAAATAGTAATATAGGAAAAGTATACCAATTACCAAAGTAGTAATTAGGTACTGTGGTTATAACTTAGAATATTGTGTACAATAATATTAATATATTATATTCTGTGATTCTGCCTGTGTAACTTACTACCTACTTTGTGTCTACATACTGTTTAAGAAAATAACCAAATCAAATGTTTTTTTTTTGCTGTTGAATCATAGTAATATATTGGTGTGAAACATAATTCAAATGTTAAATTAGACAAATTATTTTGTGGTGGATTCAAACTATATTTGTTTTGGGTAAGTTGTATACCTATTATACTTATATGCAATATTGGAAAGAACGGCATTCATGATGCTCGTTACAGGGCGTTCACGTTCATATTTAGTGAATGGCCACTCGTATTTTTCAAATATAACGTGAACATTAACGATGTTTTATATATTTAATGAATTGAAACGATTTTTAAGACGTTCAAATGTATGTATTATTTAATAAATATTGATTGATTAGGTTTACTATTTTGATATATAATATATTACAAATTATAAAAATAAAATACATGAAATTCCAATATGCAAGCCTGGACATAAAACAACAATAATATTAAATTCCAATATTTTGTATTCGTATTTAAACGACACATAAATAAAATAACAACGAAATGAACGTATTCATATTTTCCAAAAAACGTGACTTTGTTCTGTTCTTTGGAAAAATTATAAATATGAACGTGAATGAGTTTCCTTTTCTAATCTGAACGTGAACAAATTCATTTGTTTAGGGAATTTTCCGAACACTGCTTGTATGTCATTATTATTATAACACTTTAAAATTATAAAATAAATTATTGGGATCATGTCTAAATAACATTGTATAGAAAGTTACATTCTATCTGATGGAAAATCGCAAAATTGTTATTAATTTATAATATGAAACAATATCTCTACCCTCTGGTACTATCAGAAAAGGTATTAATATGATAAAATGTAAAAATTCAGTTTAATATTGATTTCAATTGTTTTTTATATTAAATTTTAAAATTAATACAAAGAATAATATTAATTATTAATTATTAGGTATTAGATGATAATTATTTTATACATAATTTTTGAAGTAAACCTCTTTATTGAGGTGTGGGTGGACAAAAATTGTACAACAAAAAATGAAACGACAAAGTTCTTGTTTAGTTATTTATATAATATGTCCATAGCAACATGTAATAAACCAAATGTCTCGTAAATTACATATTTTTTTAATGTATTGATTTTTCTCACTCTCCCTAATTCACTAATAATTTCACGGGCCTAATTACTTACGAAAGAAGTTTTACTTCCCCAGAGTGTAATGGTGAGCTCACACACTATCACTTTTATTTTTCTATTAGAAATATATTTTACTTTTATTTCTACAATTTATTCATTAAATTTTTTTTAATAAAATACAATACATCTTAGAATGTATATTGTATACCCTAACTCTAACTAATGATTGTATTTTTGCTGTAAAGCCTGTAACAGCAGTTATGCATATTATGATTATAATACACAAATCTAATATTAAGAACTTTATTAGATTAAATTTATATAAGCAGTTCAGTATCGATTAAACAATAATAATGTGTAGATAAAGATTTAAAATAAACCGTGGTATTGTTTTAGTGGGTTAATTTGTATAAAATTGTTGTTGAAATATTGTATACCTACAGATTATATAATAAATCTGATATTGTCTGTCTCCAACTACTATTTAATGTTATTTAATTTTAAATAGATTATGATGAACAATAGTATAGAATCAAGTTTTTACAATGCTGAAGAGAATGATGGAGAAACCGATAATTATGTTACATGTCCATTATTGCAACTAAAATATTCTAGATCAAGAAAACCAATTACTAGGTAGGTTATAACTACAAAAAAAAAGGGAAATGGATAGCTATTTTTCATGTATATTTGATGTTTACTCTGATATAAGTTCCTTATTATATATTTAATTATTTCAATTGTATGTATTACAATAATGAATACTAATCTTTTTTTTTTAGTCGTTTGGGACAAAAGGGTAGATCTTTAAAACACATAAATGAGAATCGACCTTTATTTGAAAATAGAACCGCAGAAGCTGATTTGGGAGGATCATTTCAAATACGTACACCTGAAAATGTAGTAACTGGTTTTGAAAAACTTGACTTAGTACATGATACTCCATTTGTCCGTCCAGCCATTAAAACTCACAATGATAGTGATTTAGAAACTCCGAGTGACACAATAACTAATTTGAAAAATGTAAGACCTAATATTGCATTAAGTACTAAACGGTCATTATACAATAATAAAGAAAATTTACCAGAGCAAATAGAAGAATTAAAAACACCTGATTCTCAAAAATTTAATCAATGTAATACTAGTCAGCCGTCACTCACTATAAAAGAAACTGCAAATAAATCATCAGAGAGTGTGAAAGACGAAACATATTATGTGTCACCTGAAACTTCAAGATACAACTATGATACCAGTTTGTATCATAGTATCAGAGAAACAACTGTCATACCAGAAACATCACATTCATCCTTTTCTATCAGAAATTCTGATTCATTTGTTAATAATTCTTTAACATCTAAGCAATTAGAATGTCAACCTCTAGATGATCAACCTAATCATACTGCACTTGAACTCTCTCCTGCAGGAAACCGTAACAATTTTGTAGTACGAGCTCGATCTCCCATTCGTCATATTCCTGTTGGATTTGTTCAAGATGGAGAATTTAAGCGGCCAATTAATTCATCAAGTAGCATGTGTGTTAAATGCGCCAATGAAAACTATATATCTGTTAAAGGAATTAATTATAATATACTTAATACACTTGGCCACGGTGGATCTAGTATTGTGTATGAGGTAATTATATATTTGTAATTATATTCATGTTATTATTTCTAATGTATTTTTAAAATTTAATAAGGTTTTACATCCAGACACAAACCAAGTGGTTGCAATAAAAAAGGTAGATTTATCTGAAGTTGAAGATATTATAGCAAAAGGATATTTAAATGAAGTTAATTTGTTACAAAATCTGCAATCATGTGAAAGTGTTATACGCCTTTTTGACAGGTAAATTTGATGTATTCAATTTAATTATTATTTTCCTTTCTTGAAGTTTTTTTCTAGTTGTTTCTTCATTGTTCAAAATCTTAGTATACACATAGATATTAATATTTTTCAGTCAATATACTATTAAGGATAAGATACTTTACATGGTAATGGAAAAAGGTGATACAGATCTTTCAAAACTCATTCGTAATACTAAACATATGTCTGTACATATGATAATGTACTATTGGTCAGAAATGTTGATTACTGTTAATGAAATACATGCTAAAGGTAAATATTTATTTAATTCATATTTTTTTTAAACAAATAATATATTACTATGTAATCCGATATTCAAGCCAAGGTTGACAACGTACCCTATAATTTATTCTATATTTGTTTTGGGGCTTGAGAGACTAAATCTCTTTTTAAGTGTTTATATTCTGGCCACTCAGAGTGTGCTTCTGGGTGGCGACCAAAACTCGTCCGTTCTCGCGCATTTCTACCACTAAATCTGTCTGAACGCTGGCTGTAGCCGTGAGTGGGAGATTTTACAGTAACGAATAGGTAGTAGAGAGAGAAAAATTTGGGTACGAAACCGCGGAGCTTGTTCATTTGGATGCGCCAAGGAGTTCTCTCTGACCAAAGTATATAAGAAAATTATGATCACTAAAATTGTATTGATCCCCTTATTATTTGTGAGGGTTAAAATTCCAAGGACATATCTGCATGTTTCTATTTATACAAAGGACATAGTTTTATAGAAGATAAAGGACAGTAATATTATGGTTGATATTTATTATTTTTAAGAAATTCAATCTATTATACATTTTATTTAAGTGTACATGTACATATCAAAGTAATGTGTGCTAGTAAGTTATCATTAGTACTGTATTTTAATTATAAATATATTTTTAATATTTTATATTTTAAAACAAAAGCCAAAATTTGAAAAAGTGGGATTATTAATTTTAATAATTAGTAATTAATCTTAAATAAACTTCATTATACATTTAATTATATTTTCAGATTTCTTATTAGATTATTAATTTTATCGGTATAATGAAGTAATGAAAAGTAACTAAGTAGGAGATAAGTTATTAAAAAAAAAAAATTATTTCCCAATAAAAACGCACAAGTCCTTAATCAAGCTCTTACCCAAAACCTATAATTATTAGTTGGATCGACCTGCTATTGACAATATCAAGAGTTTCATTATGATACAAAAAAAAAAATATGTATGTTGACATATAGTTAGTACATTTGTAAATAATAACTATAAATATAATTTTAATTTCAATAGTCGTATAGACTTCATATTTTGTAATGATAGGTAACTAAGATATCTTATTAGTTGACTTTAAAAAAATTTACATAGCCCTGTAATTTTAATGGAATTAAATTTCTCTGATGGTATTGTGAAAGAAAATTTGTTTTAAATTCTAAATAATAAACTAACTTTTGTTATCACATGCTGCATAATATTATGTTGCTAATTGCTATACCGTTACTCAATTCTAAATTATTCTGAAGTTTAATTTGATGTGTGATATATAAAAACATAATATTTATTTAAATGCTAAATGAAATTATGATTTCACCTCATACATTTGTTAATTACTAATTAGTATTTTATATTATAAAATAAATATTAAATAATATAACTTTCAATAATAGATTTTACTATATAGATATAATTAATTTTACTAATTAACTTAGTGATAAATAATTCATTTTTCCAATAGGTGTTATACATTCAGATCTAAAACCTGCAAATTTTCTTCTGGTTAGTGGTCGTTTAAAATTGATAGATTTTGGTATTGCATCAAAAATTCAAGGAGATATGACAAGTGTATTGAAAGATGTGACTACTGGAACTTGGAATTATATGAGTCCAGAATGTATTAGGAGTGGTGGTTCAAATTTTCAAGGACATAAAGTGAGTTAATTGTATTATTTTTTATATTTAATAAAATTACTAATAATAACTTTTACATTCTATTCAGATAAACCAAAAATCAGATGTGTGGTCCCTAGGATGCATATTGTATAGTTTAATTTATGGTAAGACTCCTTATTCACATTTGACAAACACTTGGCAAAAGTTACAAGCCATTGCAGAATCTACACAAAATATTAGTTTCCTGAGTCACAGTAAAACATTTACTCAAGGTATACCACCTGTACTAATGCAAACAATGAAGTTATGTTTGATAAAAGATGTGAAAGCCAGACCCAATGTAGTTGATTTGCTGAAGCTTATTGAAAATACAGTATTCAAACCTATGACTTAAGTACTTTTTTATATAATATGTACTATAATCTTGTATTTATAATTTATTCTGTCATTTCATACATGTTTTTCAAATGTATTTATGATTTTGAGTATTGATAAACATGCAGTACTTAAATAAATTGTGGTGTAATTGTATAAATAATATATATATAATTGTTGTATCTTAATGAATGATTGTTTACATTAAACATTTTTTACTGTTTTAACTTAGCTTATTTATTAAATTTGAAATGAATTTAACAATATTGTATATAACTCGCATATTATTGGAATTTTAGTAATAAATTCATAATAAATAATAAATTTAATTAAAAAAATAATTGTTTACTCATTCCATATTTTTAATACACTTAATTACTTCCATACTGTCAATTTTCCATTTTCAAATATCAAACAATCAACGGGCCATGCTATTGATGATTTATCAAATGGTAATAAATCTTCAAAATCTTTATCGGAATCCTAAAATTAAGACATTTAATATCAATATTATAGTAACTAGTAAGACAAGTTTCATAAAAGTGTTGTAAATAGGTATGTTGTTAAAACAATTAAGAAGTAATGATAATTGATAGTAATCACATACTATAGGTTAGATTACTGCACACTTTTATTTACTAAGTAACAATATTTTTAACAAAGAAGAAAATTGTATGAATATAATGTGTTAGGGAACAAGAGTTAAGGACAGGTGCATAACAGGAGAAGTGTTCTACTAAAGGAAAGAGAAGGACAAGAAAATAACTCAAAACATTATCGAAGTGAAATAGCGAAGAATGCATTGTGGAAAGCAATTAAGATAATATGAGATTGTAGGAGTGATTAAATATTACGAGTTGGAAAGTTTGTGACCAAGACCAAACAGGAAAATAAAATAATAAGAAATGAAGTATAATATATATAAATTAAACCAATATATATATATACACTTAATTGTGTATGCATACTAATATTTTGTTTTATGATATCCAATGGCAAAGTGTCATAGGAGACAATGTCCTAACTACAACACGGCTAAATAATGAAATAATAAATAAAATAAAATATTTTACAAATTTGAATTGTCATAATAATATATTATGTACTTCACAATATTTATCAAAATCTTTTCTTTTTATTATACTATTATAGTATTCATAGAAAATATTAGTTGCAAGCTAGTGGTGCTCAACATGGCAGATCATTACAGTAAACATTCAAATACAGTATAAATTAACTACAAAAATAAATATGAACAATGTGTCAATGTCTCATTTTTCCGGGCACGGTGTTGTTCCCTTAAAATTAGAAAGTGAATGGGAGTCATTGTTGCGCTAAGAGACGAGTTCATATTTATGTTTTTTTTATTTTTCAGTAATAGTAGCATAGCATCAACTATCACAAACTTGTAATCATAGTTGGTTTGTTTATTTCTCAAATGATTTCCTAAAATATTTGAGTATCAATAATATTGTTATTATACTTTATATTTTTTCTCAACTTCTCCCTGACCTAAAGAATCACACCTCGCCACTGATAATATTAACAAATTATTAAATTGCATAACAATATTTAAATTTATAAGCATGTACAAAACGGTAATTTTATGTTATATTGCAGTATTGGAATCAACAATATTTTTAAACATACATCATGTAACTTTAACAGTGTTTTATAATAAAATTTGAATATTCCTTACCTTGTATGACTCTATAAAGTCTAACAAATCTTTTGATAATAACTCATTTGATTCCACAAGTTTCATAACACTATTAAAAAAAACAAAACATTTATACAATTAAATTTGCATATTATACTAGGATGGTTTAAAATTATCCTTTTTATTTTTTTGAATATTGTGTTAGAAATAATGAAATATTTTGGCTTTTATTTTCCCGACTGATCAAGATAAACAATAATTTCTAAACTTTATTTTAAGAATTTCCCAGTACATTTTGTGAAATATTAAAGCAATAGTATTCAACAAAATCTCTGTTAAGCCGAGCACTGCTGAAAACTGTTTTTCAAAGGTTCATGATTTATATAAGAGACTTTGGTGATAATGGGGCAAAATAGTGTAGGTAAAATTTTTTTTTAGCTTAAGTATGAAATATTTAAAACTGCCTACCAATTTATAGGATTTATAATATTATAAAGTGTACACAAAGAACTTTTAAAGTTATTTCATTCAGGTTTAAATTCATACATATTTATATAATTTGCATTTAAATTTTCATTATTTAAGAAGGAGTTTTACATTCCAAAATTTACATTCAGATGTTCTAAATTTGTGTTGTTAGTTAAAATATTATAGTGATCAATTATAAAAGTTAACAGTAATATATTTATCTGTGTTCTCTTCTTGATATTTCATAACATTTAAATTTTTAAGCAACTTATGTAAAATATTAAAAATTAAAATAAAGTATAAAACCAATGAGAGGACACATAATTTTCTTACTTTTTAGTTTGACATTAGGTTCACTAATTCACTTTAATATTAAAACTAAAAATACAAAATTGGAACTGCTTAACGCAAATATGCTATTTTGTTCATTTGTCTCTGACTTATATACTCTAATCAGAATAAAAATGCCCACTTTTACGCATGCATACTGAGCCGTTCAAACAGTTGGACCCCTCGAGGACCCCAATCTTAACATACTAGAATTAATAAAAGTGCTGCAATCTAACTAGAACTAAATATTAATTTAAAAAAAATTAAATATATCAATTTACTTTTCTTCGTTCCACATTTGATTATCTACAATATATTTACAAATATTTTGGTTGACATCTGAATTAAAAAGTGGCACACCAAAACAACAGTCTAACAAAGTCCATTCTGACGTATCATAAACAGGTTCTAATAACAATGTTTTCTTTATACACGATGCATCATTTAATTTTTCTAATTCTTCTTTTAAGAGAGATACTCCATTTTTTTGAAAAACAGGTGAAGCATCTGTAAAACAAATTAATAATAATAAGTAATTGATTAATTAATAAATTAATAAATCTTAAATGTTGCTAACCATTAGGCTGTTCTGAAATTAATTTCTTTTCATATTTAGTTGGTGTTGTTACACAAGTTATATACCCACATGTGTTTTTTATGTTTAAAACATTTGATAAACTTTTTAAAAAATTTTCTTCATATAAAAAAGAATGCTCTGAACAAATATAATTTATGATTAATGTGATAAATTCCATATTAAATGTTTGCTTGTCGATACTCATTACTACTTACCATTTTGTAAATGGTTCATTTTTGGAAATGGTAGTACACATGTATTTGGATTACAAGCCTAAAAACATAAAACTAGTACTGACTTTGGATAAGTATTTTTTTTTATTTTAATTACTTGTATAAGAACTGGTGATTCTTTTAAAGTGTCATTGATAATGGTTAGTAAGTTCTCAATAGGTATAAAATGTGGATCGTGTCCCCAAGTAGTTATCATTACTTTAGAACAATGTCTAAATATTTTAGGAACATTCCACAAGCGTACACCTATTAAAACAATTTATTAAATAATAATAACAACTGACAAGTACCAAATTGTTTTTATATATTTACCTCTAATCAATAGTAGTGATGGAGGTCCATAACATGTCTTATGATATAAATATAGCTTAAACCAAACTGAGTTTACTTCAGGTATAGGAGGACCAATATGTGGTAACTTTGGTGATGACAAAAGAGGCGTTTCTTTATTTAATGGAGCCATTGACATTAATAAACTAAATATATCAAAACGTATTTACTAAACAAATTTAATAAACTATGTAAAAACTCACTTATAATTTTTTTTCAAAAATCTAACACATGTATCTGCTGTTAAAGACTTAAGACTTTCCCAACGAATAAGATCCAGTTTACCAGAACAATTTTCTGATCTCAATGCTTTCACAGTGCTTCTAAGTGTTAATGCATGTTCAAAATATCGTCGAGCTTCACCTTCACTCTCACCTGCACTAGGAGTTTCACTTCCAAAAACACAACTACCAGCACTGTAACCGTCTGCAACTTTGTCAAGTTCGTCCAAAAACACATTTAATGCTTCATCAGTTAGTTTCCCAGCTTCAAATAATGTAACTGCATGATCTTTTAGACTCTAAATTTGAATATTAATTTAAATTAAAATATGATTGATAAAAACGTAGAAATTAACATTATATACTTACAGGGGACAGATTACCCATCATTAAAAAAGCTGTAAGAGTTGAATCAAACAAAAAAGCCATTCTTTTTTCAGCATTACTTTTATCTGGCGATGACTCAAGAACATCTGGTATTTCAGTAGGCAATATTATTGAAGAAGGTAAATCAGTTACATTTTCTACATTTACTATTTCTAATTTTGGTATATTTTTTGAACCAGACCAGGTTAAATGAGTAGAAAAAGTTTTGGGACTTTTTTTCTGGGCAATTTTTAATCGGCAAAATAAGGAGACGGCATTTTTAACAGATTCCAAGTCAATCTCTAATACTGTAGCCAACTTTTAAAAAAAATAAGATATTTTAATTATAAAAAAAATGCTATATAATGTCAGTAAAATAATTACCTCACTAACTGAAGTGTGTTCATCAATAGATACAAAAATTTTGTAAAGGAGATTTTCAAAATTATCTCCAAGCACTCTATTCATAACAAAACCACCAAGTGTTGATACTATTATATGGTCATCATCATATATTGGAACATCATAGTAAATCAAACCTTTTCTACAAAATGTGTAAAACATATTTATACAATGTATTACTTCTTTTAATATATAATAAATATATTAGTTATTAACTTGTAAAGACTGTGGAGTATATTGTAATCTAAACTTCCAGCCATTTGTTGTCCATTATCAATTATATGGTCAATAAATTTTTTCTCGTCTTCATTGATGGTCTTTAAAATAAATTACAATAATTTAACATTTAACTAAATATAAAATGATTTTAATTAAATTTAAATGTGCAGTAATTGAATTCTAATATACTTTAATATCATCTTCAAACAAACATCCAACATCAACAGTCCACCAAGGATCTGCATTTATATCTATTGGTTGAGATGGTAACATTGGTCGAATCTCATTTTTCCTTCTAAAAAGTTTATTTTTTGTTCGGCATTGATTCATTAATTCAATATACTCATTACGACCAATTCCTAGTATTCTAAGGCCTAGAGAGAGAAGTTCAAATATAAAAATAAATAAGTCCAGAACAAAATGTATATGGTTAAATTCAGTGGTATATTTATGGTGGAGCAGTATTCACTGGAATGCTATGGGGTAATTATATTTCCTTGAAATTATATAGGAAAACAATTTTTTTGTAAAATGTTGTGTCATCAGTTGCATGTTTATAATAATTTATTATTATTATTATTATTCTATAAGTATTTATAAAACAATTCCTTACAATCACACTATTCCCCCCCCCCTGCAAAATACAACATAAAATAAACCAAAATTGTAAATATACCACTGGCTTGACTAATAAACATCAGTAAATAAAACTAATTCATTAGGTATAAATACAATCAACTGCTGTGAAATTTGGAATTGAATCGTAGCTTTTATCGGACTCCATAACATGTATAATTGTTGATATATAAAATTGAAATGGTGTTATTCTTAGTCCTTTAACAATTACATCTGACAGATGATATGGATAAAGCATCAAGTTTTCTCTACTATATGTCATCAAATCTTCATAGTAATTTTGTTCGTTTCTAACAACTGTTCTCACTAGAATAAAAAAGATAGCTTAAACATACTAAAACCATTATTGATTGAATAATAGTAACAATTGTGTTACCTAAATTTGTTTTGTATCGAACTTGATTCCTTATGCTATACACAGAAATACATTTTTTGTACTCTTTTAGAGAATTTCCAACTCCCTGAAAAATAAAAGTATATTTATTATCAATGGTATAATTTAAAGTTGAATATTCAAAAATATATAAATTTACTGCTGATACATGCACAGAATACCCACTACTTACTACCTACTTAATAAAATATCACAAAATTATTGGAATTATTATTAGATGGTTCAACAATCATAATGATTCACAATTTTTAAATAAGTAGGTAAGTAAATTGTGGCTTGTGAATGTTAATGATTTCCAACTTTTCAAGTGTCTCTTATTATGCAAAAAACTTAATTAAATTAAAATTATATGTATATTTAAAATTTACTTGTTTTACGGATGGTGGTAAATTTGCCCAAGGAATGTTTTGAAGAACACATTTTTCCATTTCTTCGTTCATACTTGGGATATTTAATATCTACTTTACTAAAACATTTTATAATTTTAATTTAAATTCCAACCTTTTAAATATTTAATATTTACTGTAATATCATTATCAGATTTCTAATCACTACAAACTTAGATCATAACACAGACTTATATAATACTCATTATATATATTCTGTGGATCATAATAGTAGGCATCTTAAGCCTATAATAATCATTATGAATTATGATTAAACCCACAGACATATAAAACAAGTCTATGGAATAAACAAGATGGATAAACTAGACACTAGTTACTAGTACAAGTAGTACAACTATACAATTATACAATTATAAGTCTTCATAAATACAAACCACGACCACTGACTGAGATAGAATATACCTATCACTCAGTGATAAAACCACAGTCCACAGAATAGATAATAATTATAATATTCAATATTCATTATCTACCTATATTTTCTGTGTACCTCACGATTATAATCGTGGTGACTGCTGTACCTATATTAGCACAGATTAAGTATATAAAACTTATTTAAATATTTATAAGGTTTTATAATATTACGATGTTTGATATAACTAATTACTAAATATACAACCATGATGGCATGATATAAACAACATAGTGAACATACCATGTATGATGTATTATCTATTCTATAAAACTAATAATATTATATTATATTGTCATTTTATAGCACGAACTAAGATATATCTTAGTTCGTGTTTTATAGTATAGGATGGATGGATTAAATACATGAACTACTACACAGGACTGGACACTACAGAGAAAATCACGGACACAAAGTTGTACAGGGTTCGTACACATGCGATGTAACTGCACTCTGCCTGTTAGTAGTACGAACTACGTTTTTTATAGGATAACACTAAAGAATAGTGATATTAGTGATAATAACTGATAATAAATTTACTTTTTAATTTTTGAAAAACAATTATTAATAACACAGTTCAAGATAATAATGATACTATTTATAGAATATTATCAGAAAATAATTACTGCTTAAAGAGTGAACAGTTTAAGCATGAACTACTAAGGCGGTATTTTATATAACAAAATATTTCTTATCTCACAGATGGCGCTGTGTCGCATGTGTACCGAATATGTACAACTTTGTGGACGACCCCCTACTCTCCTCCTGCCAATAGTGTCCAGTCCTGTGTAGTAGTTCATGATTAAATAAATAAATCCACGTTGAATATTATCTTAGTTCGTGATAACAATATTATTTAATACGTAATTAATATAAACACAGACTTCTACCAAAAAAAAAAAAAACTGAGTAATATATTAATATTAAAAAAATCCCCTTCACGAACAACCCCAAAATAATAAAAATCTTTTAAAATAGTACTGAATTAGTACCTACTATGTACTCATTAACTATTGTTTGATAATATTATTTAATTTTTATTATTTTAATTAATTGTATTATTTGATGTATTAGAAATATTATTATTTTTTATTTTATAATCTTTTAATTAGGTAGGTATATAATATAATAATAATTATATTTATAATAGGTATTTAATATTGTATCTATAAAGTAAAACTTGTAAAAACAAGATTATATTTACATTATCGTCAAGACGTCAAAATTCATAGTACCTACCTGTATTGTACTTTATAGATACGTAATATTTAAATATATGGATTTAATGTTTACCTACATAATTTAAAACAAAATATTATTGTAAAAGTTTGAAAATTATAATACAAATATAGAAGTACCTAAGTTTAACGGTATTCAATATATTATATTATAAACTTTGAACATAGATTGTGTTTTAGATTCTGAGCGGATCGAGGAATCTAGTGGTTTTCAATGGTGTTTATTATTTTTATCCTGTAAAATAATCCTATACAATTTCTACCAGAAGGTGGGCTTCGATTTCTACTTAATATATAGTATCTTATCTTTTAGCAAATTAGATCCAGATGACCAGATGGTATCTACTTTAAAGAGGTAATTTTTCGATTTTCTCAATAATTATTTAATGTCACGGGAAATACCACCGACAAATTACAAAAAACCGCTAAAAATGGGATTTTAATTTCTAATGCTTTGTCTATCACCATAGAAACGAATAAAAAATAATATTATATATAATCAACTTAGTACTTACAGGCTATAATTAATAAAACCCATATAAATATCTAGACTGACAAACCGTCTCCGCTCATAATCGTTTTTCTTATACAACGATTATGATATTGTATAATTTAATTCAAGTTTAATACAATCCATTATACATTGACCCATTTGTAACCTACTGTACTTGTACATCAGAGCGACATTCACTTACGTGCTTTTTTTAATTGAATGTTTTTTAAACTCGTACTTGATTTTTAATTTTTTTGTGATAAAATATGTATTTGTAATTAAATACTAATAATTTGTTAATAAATTACACTAATTAGAGTTTATAAAATATTTGTTCAATCATTTTCATATGGTTGTGAGTAATATAAATTATAATCTGGGTATTTTTTTTTTTTGGGGGGGGGGGGGTTGTTCATTATTCCGATTATCACTGCATGGAACTGCTTGTGGGAGTGAGCAAATTGAAAGGGTTCCACACTTCAACGCAAATTCCTCAAGTATAGGTATGTAGATTTTATTTTAAATATGGACCATGTGGTGTCCTATGGGTAAGAATTTACACCTAAATCATTTTTACCTAAAAAAAACATGGGCCTAGTTTACAATAAACCTTTTGAAAATTTTTTTCCTCGGATCGAGTGACGAGTTTACAATACCCCATCACCATAAATATTCACTTAAAAATATAAAAAAATCATACAAAACAAGATGGGCAAGTGGGTGTTGTCCGCTGTACAGTGTAATGTGTATATAAAATGAAAATATAAACATTCAGTGAAATTTTCATGTATCTACAGACTACGGTTATTCGTTTTTGTTTTTCTCGGCGCTTTTGAACACTAATGGGATTATGAGATTTTGCCCTCTTTAATTCACCAATTCGAACCATTATTTCGACTACTATTATCGTGTACACAGTCACAGACACAAAAAATAAAAATAAGACACAGACAAAATTAAATACTATATTTAGAAAATTTCTTTAGAATAGAAAATGATAATTTTAATGACTGAAATTTTTCAAGTAAGTAGCCATTCCTTTTTGAAAAATTACGAAAATCTTTTCTATACGTTTGAATCGTTTGATTATTCAATGTAATTTAATTTAAAACGTTCATAATAAATGAATGTATTGATTTTAAAATGATGTGTGTTTTTTTTTTTTATTTTTTTCGTGTCTGTCATCACGTTTTATCTTTTATGATAGGAAAGTCAATATAGTTAGTACTTTGAGGGGATCAAAAGTAAACATTTCTCAGTAGTTTTCAAAAGCGACGTGAAAAACAAAAGAAAAATTAAGGAAAACCGGGAATTTTTACGCAAAATCTGTTTTCGAGAAAATCGATTTTGGTTTTTGGTACATGAAATTTTGACTGAATGTATAATACTAGCATTTTCTATAAACCATATAATTTTAAAAATATTTTGACTTATTTTGAGTCATTTACGGACATTTTCAGTTTCCATTTTTTTTTAGTTTTTTGTTCTATAAATATCATTAAAATTTTATTTGTTGGTTAAAAAAGCTTAAAAAATATCAAAAAGAAAGTTAAATTACATTTTTATGAGTGTTTGAAATTCATATTTTTACAACATTGGATTTTCACTCGATTTCTCATGTAGCGATTTCCTTATTTTGTTGTAATTCAAAAACGAATAACTGTAGATACATGAAAATTTCACTGAATATTTATATTAGCATTTTCTATGCAGCATACAATTTTGAAAATAATTTGACTCTTTTTGAGCTGTTTACGGACATAGTCAGTTTTCAATTTTTTTTTTCTCTATCTTTATTTGTCTGGTAAAAAAGCATGACATTTTAATGCAAGGCTCCTGATATATTGTTACAATAGCAGTTAAAAAATATTAAAAATACATGGGGACAATTTTTTTTATAAGCATTTAAAGTTCGAATTTTAAATTATAATTATAGTATACCTATACAATTATTTATTAAATGTCTAAAATAGTTATATTATTATACAGTACACTGAGTAATCCTCTTGTCGAGGGTAGTTTATTGAAGATCACATGAGTAGCGAAGTACGAGTTGAAACCATATTGATTTATTATGATTTAACATGTATATATATAATATATGACCGCAGACCGATATAGTCTCTACTTCGCGTTTCTAACTCCACTGACCGTGAATGAAAATAATGTATAGACTCTACGTTCCTGTGTTCTGCACTTCTGTCTATCTAAGAAAATTCGCCGAGTGCGACATAAATGACGAGTCAGTAATCTGTGAATCGTTACAAAAGTCTGTTTGGTATAATAGTATCGGGTCGGTAGACGGAATTGAGTAGGTAGGTACTACTGTACTAGGGAGTCGCGGTATCGGCCAGTAGTTAGGATAATGGATTTGAAAATCATGGTAGTCACTAGTCGGGATAACAGAAAAGCACTATTTAAGATTTAAACTACTTTAATACCTATCTTAAATCGTGCGGTAAAGTACCGAATTTCAGCCTGCTCATAACAAATGTATATGTTTGTTTTACAATTGTTGAAGTTAAACATAATTCCTTTATGTTATTATCTAACTAATTCTATAAAAAAAAAAGGTTAGGTTAGGTTATTATATATATATATTATTTGAATCATGATGTTTAAAATTTTTAATTCGTTTACATTGTAGTTATTGTTATTCAATATATAGCAATATGGTTTTTCTTTTTAATTCAATAACAATAACCTATTCTATAATTTATAAATTAAAAAAGTTGGTTACAAATAGTTACCTACAAATTAAAAAAATAAAGTTACAAATATTTAGATGGTTATACTATGAGGGGGGGGGTAACTCCACACAAATCACTTATTTCTTTATTAAAAATAGGTAGGTATTTACGAAAAATTTACAATTCCCACAAAGAATTGGACACTGTACACAAAACCCGGGTAAAATGTACACATTATCAAACTTTTTTACAATTGTACACTTTATTGAAAAGCATATTGGAATAAAAGTTATTAGTAATATACAATTGTTTTCAATATTATAATATCATAAATCATAATTAATTTGTAAAAATTGTGTCATCAAAAATAGAAGAAGGCCAACAAATATAAAATGTAGATCATATTATTTTCTTATTATGGAGACAGATTTAATATAAAATATTAAATAAAACCAACAAGACAAAATAAAAATTCATTAAAAAAAAAAAATGTAATTTAGAAAACAGGAATTTTTCATTGATTGATGAAAATACATAGTCTATTTTTCAGTTATTTCTTCATATTCTTGTATGAATAGTTCAAACGATTCTTTACTTATAACTCTATGATGATAGAGTTTATTGAACAGTTTTAATACCATTCCTAATGGAAAAATAATATCACATTATTAATGAAACCAAAAATGAAATAGTTAACAACTGACCTCTAGGATGTTTAAGAGTAGCAGACATTATTTGAATGCCGTACATACATTGTACTTGTCGTGCCTGGATTTCATGTACTGGAAGTGGTTCAAATTCAATAAAATGGCTCAACAATTTCAAGTGAACAGGATCAAAGAAATCCTCATATGAATGATTTAACTCTATAAATTAAAAATTTATGTTAAATAATTGAGTAACTATTTTATTATAGGTTCAGAAGTGGTGTCTTACTCAAACATACAATGACAATAGCTATGGTTAATGATTTCACAAACAAAGGGTTTTTTATTATTTCTTCACAGATATTAGTCTAAATTTAAAAATATTTATTAATATTATCAACATATATGATAAAAAATACAATGCAATAAATTAAATTCCTTGCTTAATTATTTTACTTACACATATCCAGCTTTGCAATGTATTGTACAGTAGTTTATTATTAGTCAGCTTCATTTTATCATAAATGACAATAGATAAAATCAATATTCCGATTTGCTAAAAATTATATAAATATTATATTATTATAATTTTAATTTTAATTAAAAGAGAATAAAAAAATACATGAATTTATTTTGTTTAAAAACATACGTCTTTTTTTAAATATTTATTTATTTGGTTGTTAGGCATAAAGGCGTCAAGAGTAACATTTTCTGACGCATTCCACTTATTGTAAATCCACAATATACCATCTAGTTGCTAAAATTACAAAAATAATAATATTACTAACACATTTGTGGAGAGTCAAGCCAATTTTACTGTTAAAGCAATACTCTTGTTCATCAATCTACTTTAAACATTTTTGAATACCTATATCTGCAATAGCGGTACTCGAAAAATTCTTTAAAAGGTGATATTATTGTAACACAAACAACATCAGTGATTATTCCAATGGTTACTTATGAATAAAATGTGTACTCTCCATATAAAGCATAGTAATATTGCACAGTTAAGAAGTGATTAACACCAGCGGTGTAGTGGAGGGTGCACGCAGGTACAAAGTGTGTACTCACCTACCAAATTTATATTTATGCGTGTACCCTTAACAAAAATTATTGTACGCAGGTTAGGCGTCAATGATTAAGGCGTGTACCCATAAACTTTTTAGCGCTAGATCACTGCTGACCACAGAACAAGACAAATTTATCTCAATTAAATTAAAGTAACAAGAAAAACAAAATACACTGGGCACACTGTGTTGCCAAAGGAATTTAAAGATAGTATAAGAAGAAATAATCTCTACCAAGCTATTAGTAAATGAAAAAATTAGCAGGAATAATAAAAGATTGGTTTAAGCTACAGTGAAAAGCTACAATTAGATAAAAAAAAAGATTTCTGAGAGGTGAGATGAATGTATTGATTTTACAAAGTTTTTTTTTTAATTTCTCAACATTTTAAAATCATAACAATTTTAGTTATTTTGTTGTAATTTTATAACATTAATTCAACTTACCGGCTACTGTATTAATAATAACTAATAAGTAATAACAATATAATTAATACAATATAAAATATCCACATTAACAAACCGTCTCCGCTCGGAATTGTTTTTCATATACAATGATATTATATCATTGTATTCAAATTTAATACCATCTATTATACAGTGACTTACTTTTAACCTACTGTACAGCAGAGCGACATACATTTACCCTATTTTAAGAAAATTTTATAATTAGAATTCTTATATTCAAGAACAATAGAACAATTAAACAAATAACTATATTATCACTATTTAATAATAGTTTTAGATTCTTCTAAGAGGTCTTTGCAATGAATTTTCAATGTTTTCAAAAACAAACATCACATATTGCCTACATTTTTTTTTTTATAAATAGCTCTAAAAAACCCAAAATGTTTTGAATTCATATCGAGAAAATTGTACGATAAATGTTTCTTACAAATTTCATACCATACTAATTATATGAGGGGGACGGAGTGGCCGAGCAGACAAAAGCGTGGGTTGCTACGCGCACTGTGGCCAGTTTAAATCTCGGTCACGGGCAAGACCCTTGTCTCGGGCCAGACACCTGTCTGGAGATAGGCCGCCATCCCGTGACCGGGAATGGGAAGAAACATACAGGTGCCTAATCAAATTCTGCCAAAAACCGAAAAAAAACACACATTTTTACCAAACCTACAGTACCCTCCTCCCACACAGTTGAAAAACCACCTAATAGCATAAGATATTAAAAAAAATGGAATAACAATTTAAAAAAATTAAATTAACATTAAATAAAAAAAAATTATAAGCATTAATGAATAACAGCATATTTTTCTTTTTTAAAACTGTGATTTAGTAATCAGTACTATCTTTTCGTTTTTTCAGATAAATTTAAAATATCATCAACCACAAAAAAAACTAAATAAGATATTTTGCTACAAGAAAACCAACCCAAACAATTTAAATATTGAAACCTTTTTACAGCTCAAAAAAGAATATAATATAATAAAAAAAATCATATAATTATAATCCACCCAAAATCTAGTAGAACAAATTACTTTAATAAATACTATCACTTACTTCTTTAATGTTCTGAGTTTCCTTGGAACTAAGAATTTTATTTAATACTTCTGTGAAAAATTGACTAGAATTGTCAGGTCGTATTGATGTACAAGAATCTTTTAAATTATTAAAATCGAAGGAAGCATCCTGTGTTAATAATAATGGAGCTATAGAAAGAAACATGTTAAGTATGTTTGTATACTTCAAAAACTTGCATAAATAAAAAAATACCAATAATAGCAGCAATATAGGAGAACAATTGAGGGTAAACCATCAAATAATCATTCCAATCTTTAAGGACAGCATCAATTCTTAGAAAAAAAAAAAAATTATACGAATTAGAATGTTAAATGCTATGAAAAAATAATTACCCTCGAGTTATGGCATCCATAGAAAGAATTTTCTTAGATAAAAGTTCTGCAAAAATGTTTCCTGCTACCAATGTTCGAGTAATTGGACTACTATCTAAAGTAATAATAGACATTGATGTTACAAACTCTTCATGCCTTGTGCAGATAATCGAAGTTTTATCCTCCGATAATGAATAAATTATATCCTATAAGTAAGCAAAATTAAAATTATGATTATAATTCAAATTATACATTAAAAATTACGTATGATAAATATGGTAATTGGTCAAAATATAAAAACCAAAATATCCAACGGTCAAGATATCCACGGACAAAATAACCAAATTTATCTGTTAATACAAAAATTAGTAGATTACACTTTACTTTCTAATAAATTTAGCTCAAATATCACAGATTTACTGTATAACTGCACAAACACTAGTCAAATACTCAAATAATATAAAATAAATTGTATAGTTAAAATGTAAAATAATTTTCAAGAATTTTGAGTTTTGACAAAACAACTAAAATTATATAAATAAAAAAATTATAATAAAATAGAAATAGATCTAGGAACTAATCCGGTTTCTATATAATTCTATATCTTCTCCAATCCACCCCAGCGCTGAGTTTTTAATTGTTGTTGATATACAAGGTGATTCGTTAAGTGTAAAACACTCATTATCTCAAAAATTATTAATGTTTTTGAAAATATTTTTTTACATAGTTTCAAGTTGTTAAAAAAACAACGTTTTCATTAAAAAATTATATTTTTAAATATTTTTTTAAGTTTTTTACTTTTTTGAATGAAAGCATAGAGTTTTAATTTCATATTCCAAAGTAGAATATTTTTCTTAGTATTTTGATACATAAAAATCGAACTTAGGACGAGTAGTTTATGAGTTATAAGTATTTTAAGTTTAGATGTGCGGTGTAGTGGATAAACATTTTGCGGGGTAACCCCATACCACTCCACTCCGCCCATCTAAACTTAAACTACTTATAACTCATAAACTACTCGTCCTAAGTTCGATTTTTATGTATCAAAATACTTAGAAAAATATTCTGCTATGAAATTAAAACTCTATGCTGCCATTCAAAAAAGTAAAAAACTTAAAAAACTATAAGGATAAAAAATATTTAAAAATATAATTTTTTAATGAAAACGTTGTTTTTTTAACAACTTGAAACTATTTAAAACAATATTTTCAAAAACATTAATACTTTTTGAGATAATGAGTGTTTTACGCTAAATCAATCACCCTGTATAAATATTTTTTCTATTTTTAAAAACTTTTTTCTAAGTTTTTAAAAAATAGTGTAGGTAGTCATTTTTTTAGCAAATTATTTAATATTTTGTTTTATTTTATTCATTTATTGAGTGTATTGTATACTGTATTCATAAAAACGAATTATTTTATATTATTTGACTAATGTGTGTGCACTATAATTTGTGATATTATTACTATTAATGTAATTTATTTTACTATTAGTACCTAATACAGTGTATATAGGTTGAACTAATTTTAGAAGCTAATTTTATAAATTAATATTTGAGCTAATTTTTTTAGAAAATTTTAAAAAATGTTCATTACATTTTTAGAAAATAGTGTAGTATATTATTTGATTATTTGACAAATATGTGTGCAGTTTATTTGTGATATTATTAGGTACTACTAACGTAATTTATATATTATATAATATATTTATATTTATATTATTATTATATAGGTATTAGGTATATTTTTATGATTAAATAATTTGATATTTGAGCTAATTTTATTAGAAAGTAAAGTGTAATGGTCTTATTTTTGAAAAACGGATACATTTGGATATTTTGGTTTGGATATTTTGTCCTAGATTTGATAAATATTTCAATCTTAAATACATACATCTACATTTTGCATTTGCTCATATTCTAGAAGGATGTTTTTACATTTCCTATTAATTTTATTAGCCATTTCAGAGTCCAATTCTGATACTGGTTCTTCAATAGATTTTTTATGCCGTGAACTAGAAGAATTTATTGAATGAATTTTGTTCAATACTTCATTAAAAAATATACTAGAAGTGTTTGGTCGTATAGATGTACAAAAATCTTTTAAATTATTGAAATCGAACGAAGCATTCTGTGATGACAATATTGGAGCTGTAAAAAAAAAACATTTTAATTAGGTATGGTTGTATAATTTAAATAATAATTATGCAATTATTGCATACTGATAATTACCAATAATGGCTGCAATATGAGAGAAAAAATTAGGGTAATCAATCAAATGTTCATTGGAATCTTTAAGGACAGCATCAATTCTTCAAATAAAAAAAAAATTATGGATAAAAGCTTGTCTGAATGTTATATTATATTAATAAATAATTACCCTCGAATTATGGCGTCCATAGATAGAATTTGTATAGATACAAGTTCTGCAAAAATCTTTCCTGCTACTGTTGATTGGGTAGTTGAACTATTATCTAAACTTATAAATGACATTGATCTAACAAACGCTTCATATCTTGTATGGATCACTGAAGTTTCATCTTTCAATAATGAATCAATTATATCCTATATAAGAAAACGAAATTAAAATTATGATTATAATTTACATTTACTAAATATTATTGTATTAGGTACATACATCTAAATTTTGCATTTGCTCATATTCATAAAGGAGGTTTAAACATTTCAAATTAATTGCATTAACTATTTCTGAGTCCAATTCTGATACTGGTTCTTCAATAGATTTTTTAGGCCGTGAACTAGAAGAATTTATTGAACGAAATTCGTTCAATACTTCGGTAAAAAATATACTAGAAGTGTTTGGTCGTATAGATGTACAAAAATCTTTTAAATTATTGAAATCGAACGAAGCATTCTGTGATGACAATATTGGAGCTGTAAAAAAAAAACATTTTAATTAGGTATGGTTGTATAATTTAAATAATAATTATGCAATTATTGCATACTGATAATTACCAATAATGGCTGCAATATGAGAGAAAAAATTAGGGTAATCAATCAAATGTTCATTGGAATCTTTAAGGACAGCATCAATTCTTCAAATAAAAAAAAAATTATGGATAAAAGCTTGTCTGAATGTTATATTATATTAATAAATAATTACCCTCGAATTATGGCGTCCATAGATAGAATTTGTATAGATACAAGTTCTGCAAAAATCTTTCCTGCTACTGTTGATTGGGTAGTTGAACTATTATCTAAACTTATAAATGACATTGATCTAACAAACGCTTCATATCTTGTATGGATCACTGAAGTTTCATCTTTCAATAATGAATCAATTATATCCTATATAAGAAAACGAAATTAAAATTATGATTATAATTTACATTTACTAAATATTATTGTATTAGGTACATACATCTAAATTTTGCATTTGCTCATATTCATAAAGGAGGTTTAAACATTTCAAATTAATTGCATTAACTATTTCTGAGTCCAATTCTGATACTGGTTCTTCAATAGATTTTTTAGGCCGTGAACTAGAAGAATTTATTGAACGAAATTCGTTCAATACTTCGGTAAAAAATATACTAGAAGTGTTTGGTCGTATAGATGTACAAAAATCTTTTAAATTATTGAAATCGAACGAAGCATTCTGTGATGACAATATTGGAGCTGTAAAAAAAAAACATTTAAATTAGGTATGGTTGTATAATTTAAATAATAATTATGCAATTATTGCATACTGATAATTACCAATAATGGCTGCAATATGAGAGAAAAAATTAGGGTAATCAATCAAATATTCATTGGAATCTTTAAGGACAGCATCAATTCTTCAATTAAAAAAAAAATTATGGATAAAAGCTTGTCTGAATGTTATATTATATTAATAAATAATTACCCTCGAATTATGGCGTCCATAGATAGAATTTGTATAGATACAAGTTCTGCAAAAATCTTTCCTGCTACTGTTGATTGGGTAGTTGAACTATTATCTAAACTTATAAATGACATTGATCTAACAAACGCTTCATATCTTGTATGGATCACTGAAGTTTCATCTTTCAATAATGAATCAATTATATCCTATATAAGAAAGCGAAATTAAAATTATGATTATAATTTACATTTACTAAATATTATTGTATTTGGTACATACATCTAAATTTTGCATTTGCTCATATTCATAAAGGAGGTTTAAACATTTCAAATTAATTGCATTAACTATTTCTGAGTCCAATTCTGATACTGGTTCTTCAATAGATTTTGTAGGCCGTGAACTAGAAGAATTTATTGAAGGAATGGATCGAGGAAACTGAAGCTTCCGTGTTGAGGTTTTATTTGATCTAAAAAATAATGTAACATTAATAAAAGTTAAATAGAAACTTAATAAATAAATATGTTTACATAATTTGTGGAGAATTTGATGGTTTTTTATGATCATTAAGAACTGAATATGAGTTACTGCTAGTAAATGTCATGTTTTTACCAGTGGTAAATGACCATTTAGGTGGGCTTAAGGTTGCACCACCAGGTGAGTTTTCCTGAGGAAATTGATTGTATTTAATATTTTAGTCAAGTTGTACCCTAAGTATTGAATATAATATATTACCTTAAAACCTTGTAGATTAGATTGGTCAATAATATAGTGTTGTTTCTTATACTTAGTGTTATTTTGAGAAACATTTATTCCATTCTTATTTTCACCTATAAAGGACATTTAAATGTTAACTATTATAATATTGGTCAATTATGAAATTTAACATAATGTGTATTGTTAAAGGTTAATAAATTAAACTTATATGACTTTAAAATGTGTTTTTATCATAGTGAGTAATTAATCAACATTTAAGGGTCCTGGTAGTGACTTTTCAAATTTTCAGCAATTCTATAAAATTTGAAAATTAAAGTTTATGTTTCAGTTGCCACCTCAATTATAAGACTTTTCCACTAATCTACTACCCAATACCTGTTTAGGGGGGATTGATAGGGTGTATTATATCGATCAAAACACACTTTACAGGATAAACTCTCACATCTCGTAGATTGTTTCGATTTCTGTAATTTGTTTTTTGTTATCATAGAAGAATATTTTTTACAGGGCGCATTGGACTTCGATTATTGATTACGTTGCTAAATACAAATAATAATACAAAAACTAAAAAGTTATAAAAATGGATTAAATTCAAACTTTTAATATACGATTTCGGAAAATAATTTTGAAAATCCAAGTCCAATGCGCCCTATAATAAGTCTTCCTCTATTTAACAAAAAAAAATTATGGAAATCGGACCAATCTACGAGGAGTGAGAGTTTTTCCTGTAAGGCATGTCTTTGAGCAAAAAACAGGTCGAGCGCAGTCCCCTTAATAATATTTTCAGTGAGAAGATTTCACAAAATAAGTCATTTAATAACTGTTAAAAAAACTATAAAATAAAATAAGTTTTTAAATATTTTATGAGTCCTATTATTTACTTGATTATTTATACAAATTTAAGATACATACGGTGACTTTTATATCCACCACCTCGATAACGATCTTGTTTTTCAGATATAAATTTGTGCCTACGTAAATCGATGACATCCTGTATCATGAATTGTATTCTAGATGAAATCTTGGATTTCATGTTGCTGAATGTTAATGCAGTTAATTTATCAAAAGTATCATTTAAATCGTAAGACTGAAACAATAGAATATAATATATAGTAAGTTAGTCTTAGAAGCAAAAACATTTATATAATATGGTTATTTAAGGTTATTTACAATAATTTAATTTTCAATTTATAATATTCTACATTCTCAACTTGCTTAAACATTAAAATAGGATAAAAACCAATATGAGGTTTTTAACTTCATGTTTTGCAATTCGGAATTAATTCTAATAATATAGCTAACTTAATATTGGCAATATGGACATCATGAAAACCAAACTCCCATTATGCTTCTACTTCAACAGTTTTATTTATTGAAATTACTATTAATGTAAGTGATAAATTTAAATATTAAAAGTATTCTTTATTGTTGGGCTTAATCAAAATATAACAATATTCAATTATCTTGAATGAATGAACCTAATAAATTCATTTTTAGAAATTTATTTGGTTTACATTTATTTTATATTATTATTGTAAAATAAAATAGATGAAATGAAAAAAAAAATTAAAATAATAATTTTTAATTAATTTAATCAAACAAATAAACTGTAAATTTACTTGTTCTAGTTCTTTTCCAACTGTCTTTAATAAAATGCATAAACACTCGAGTGATACTTCATCATGTTTAGTGACTAAATTCACAATGCAATACAGCATAATATTTGGAGTAAGAATTTTTTGTTTAAATAATTCACCCATAAATCTGATAAAATAAAATAAAAAAATAAAGAAACTTGATCTTCATTTACTGTTTACTATTAATTACCGGCAATTTCCTACAGAACGTTTGCGTAATCTTCTTTCATTTTCTTCAAATTCAAGTTGAAGTTCTTTTTTCTTTTTCTAAAAATTATAATCAGAACAATTTAACAAGAATTCCAATACCTCGTTTGTAAGTCATTAAAATTACTGGATTTTTGCAAGAATTGATTTCAATGAGTTTCTTAGCAGCATCCATTTCTTGGGCCTTGTCTAGTTCAAACAGGCTTTGACATTTGCTTATTATTAACTTTTTAAAAGATGCTGTTTGGCCATATTTAGTACTAACTTCTACTAACTGCATAGATGAACATAAAATTGAACATAGATGTGCAAAAGATTTCTCTTCAATTGCCTGAAATTTAATAAAAAGAATTATATTCATTAATGTGACTAACTTAAAAATTTAACATTTATGAAGGACATAATAATAATAATGATCTATGAACAAAAATATTCTTTGTGACTGTTATTATGTATTTACTACTACAGAAATTTAAAAAACTAAAATACCAATATATAGAACAGATCAATCATTGTTACAAAAATTAATTCAATGAACAAACATTTAACATAGTTTTGGTATTTTTATACAAAAAAAAGTTATTTTTGGAATAAAATAAATTATCTATCAATTGAATATTGTAGTTATAACACAATTGTATTATACTTCCAATGAAATAGAACCATACAACCAAAGAAGTGTAATATTTTTATATTACCTTTTCAAAAACTAAATCAATAGTTTTCTCTAGACGCTCTATAGTGTCAATTGACAATGCCTTTAAACGCTCAGTTATTGAAGGTATATTATCAGGAGTTATTTCATTCAAAGTTGATTGAACTTTTAATATGATAAAATCATAAAAAAAAAATAAAATCCACATTTAGTTTTTACTTGATAATTCCTTTTTAATGAGTTATAAAACAACTTTCTTGCCATCATCGTTTAGGAGAAAAGTTAAAAAATAAATATGTTGTGACTGTTTACACCGACATTTTTATGGGTTCAAGTGGTTATACTGCTTGGGTGTGATATCAAATCTCTCTCATTAATATTTTATATTAAAGCTAGCTAAATTACCTTCCTTCTCCTCAATTACTGAGTTACATTTTTACTATTTTCCCATTTAAAATAAATTCTTGAAGTTTTAAAAATTCAGAATTTTTTCATTTCAATTACTATACTTACTTGATTAAAAATCAAGAAAATTAAATTCATAAAATTAAAAATTTTAAACATACCTATCTTAGGCATGAAAACATAATACAATATTTCTTTTAATGGTATTAAAAAGAAAAAAAAGGTGGCAAGTGGATGTCGATCTGCTGAACAGTAGGTTACAGGTGGGTCACTGTATAATGGGTGATTTTAAATTTGAAATGAATGATATACCTATAGCATTGTATATGAAAAAAGATTCTGAGCAGAGATGGTTTGTCAGTGTGGATATTTTATATCATATTTATTATTTATATGGTAATTACTTATTAGTTATTATTAATACGGAAGCCGGTAAGTTGAATAAATATTATAAAATTACAACAAAATAATTAAAATTGTGATTTTTGGTTATTTAATATATAATTATACGTCCAAATTTAAACATAAAATAACTATAAAAAAAAATTGTGCCTATGTATTTTTAATATTTTTCAATTTTCAACTACTGTTGTAACAATATATCAGGAGCCTTGTATTAAATTTTCACATTTTTTGACCGAACAAATAAAATTTTTTGACATTCATTTAGGTGTGCCTAAGGTTGCAACAGGTGCGTTTTCCTGTGGAAATTGATTGTATTTAATATTTTAGTCAAGTTGTACCCTAAGTATAGTATAGTATAGTAAATCACAAAAAACAATTTTAATGTGAAAGCGTTTTATCCATTTTGTGCGTGGGTCTGAGAGAAAACTAATACTGCGTTGACATCCTCTTATACGTTAATAGCTATAAAGCTAGGGCATAACATTAGTTACAATTTTTTCTATTATTAAATTATTACAATATTATAAAATTACAATTAATTACAAATTATAGTATATATGGTAAACCTAACATGACATATCTTTGATTATACAATTATATACACTCAACTTGGTATAATTATAAATTGTTATGGAAATATAAGAAATTATTAATACAAGTTTGTATGTGTATTTTAAAAAAATGTATTCAATTTAAAATTTAAGATTATAACTAAGATAAATATTTATCTTACTGGTGGCCCTTGTGCTGAATTATTTAAGTCAATTTCACGGCCTGTATTAGGATCAATTATTTTAAAAACAATTTTCCGTACAGGTTGAGAATAAGCTTCAGTAATTTGCATCGGAGTAGTTGATGGTTGCTGGGATACTTGTTGGAAACGTTGTATATTAGGGGTGATATCCAATGGTTGAGACTGCATGATGAGAGATTGCCCATGTAAAGTTTGAGCATTACTCATGATATATAGTTACAGGATTCTGTGGCCCTTGTGGTAGATTAGTATTCAGTATTGGTCTTGTAGGTTGGGTATAAACATTGTTCTATGGTGTAAACATACCTGAAAGTTGAGATACCATAGAAAATTATAGAAATTAAAAATTCAACAGTATCACAATATTAAAATTGTCAAAAACAAGTTAATAATTGTAATAATACCTATTAAAAATAAAATTATTAAAACAATTTAGTAGGTACTTAAGACTGTATTTGTATTTTAGAGTCTGAGCGAAACCATGAATATATTTGTTAATTAATAAAATATCCTAAATTATAATAGAGGCAGCCTCTAATATTACTTATTGAAATATAAATATATAGTAAAATATCCTTGGAAATAAAGAGGCTGACAGACAGTGTACCGATTCAAATTCAATGCATCTATTTTACAGTGACAGTCTCAATGACTAAGTACATAACTAAAAATACAATGTGTATGTGTACCGTAAAATGGAGTGAATTACAACTGGCTACTGGCAGGAGAATTCACTGAATTGCAACAGGTCTTAAGTATTAACACGGACTAAGATAATATATTATGTGAGCTATATCTACAACCGTGGTATCAAGTAATTTGTTTATTACTATTTATTGTCCATCACAGATTTCTATATTACACGACAGTTAGTACTAGTAAGTAGTAATCAGTAGCGTATCCAGAATTTTTTTTCGGGAGGGGTTATAATTTATTTTTGTGGAATTTTATCTTAAAATGATTTATTAATGATAACGTTGTTATAATTTAACAATTTTCGGGGGGGGGGGGTTACAACCCCCTAACCCCCCCCCTGGATACGCCACTGGTAGTAATAATGTAATTTATTGTAATACAATTATATTATAATATAGAAATATTAGAAATCTGTTATCTGTGTAGTTGAACATTGAACTGCAATAATATGTCATACAAGCATACAGGCAGTAGAGGGAAACGGCCTCTCTATATTACTCTATGGGTTGACTCATCATATTCAAATTTTAGTGTCATCATTATAATGAAAAAAAGATTTGTTTAAATTTGTTAAAAAGGTTTAAACTCTCTGCTTGCGCTGCAGTATCAATATCATATGTTATCACTTATCATTTTCACATTAGCCACAAATGGTAGGCGGAAAAAAAGCCCACGGAAAAAAAGCCCAAGGAAAAAAAGCCCAGAAAAAAAAGCCCACGGAAAAAAAGCCCAAAAAAAAAAATACACTGAGGAAAAAAAGCCCACGGAAAAAAAGCCCAAGGAAAAAAGCCCAAAAATATAAATATAAATGTGAACAAAATATAATAATATATTAATAATACATTACTATACTATAACAGATAATAATCATAAATAATTGTATAAGAGGCATATATAGGTAATTTTATAAAAGAAAATATTAAAATTTCAAATATGACTTATACATAATATATAACTATTGAAAATTTTTAATGTATTTTAATTTAAGAAATATTATTAAGGTATATTATTATATAGAGGGTTTGATACTGCCATGAACTGATGAACCACCTGTCAATAAATTGCATTTTTATTACCAACTATTGATAAGCACTTTTACATTTAATTTAATTTATATTGTTCGGTACTTACCAATATAATTTATATATATAACCAGTCAAAATGTTAAAATTTATCAATAACTGGTGTTTGCGCTGCAAACGAATTTATGTTGTGTGTTTCTGTTATCATTTTCATGTGCACGTATCAGTGCGTTCCACAGTTGCAGCCTTCGTCGGCTGATGCTTATCAGGCATTCGTGTGCGACCGGCCAGCTGTGGAACAATTATCAATGTTTTCATTATATTTGGTTATGTTAAAAACTTTAAGTTGTGTTTCGAGTAGTCATGCTTTCAGTGTCATAAAGTTCACAATGTTTTTGTTATCGGTTATTGTTTTAGTGTGGTGACACTGAAAGTCCGTTCGTTTTTGTGTTGCTCTATTGTGCCTCCAGGACATCGTGCGGGGCCTTTGATTTCACTTTTGGTGCTCGGTGCCGAGCGGTTCATTTTGTTTTTCATGGTTCAATGGTTGTCTCGTCATGTTTATGATGAGCTGTTTGCAGTCGTCCAAAACCACGTTGTTGTGAATTTGTGTTTAAGTTTCTGGTAATTATCGTTCTTAGCAATTTGTATTGCCACCACTAATGTGTTTCTGTACAGGATGGTCAAAATTACCAAAGATTTGTGTTGTGAATCAACGTGTTTTGGTGTACCTCATTGCTCGTGGGAACAGTAGTGCGAACACTAGAAATTCTGTTCCGGCTGCATTCTATGTATTATTGTTATTGAAGTCATCGTCAACAGTTGCTGGCACACATCCGAACGTACGCAGGGTCAATTTGTCTTTATTGTAATTTAGTGATATACTTACAGGCCCTGGTGCGGTAACGTGGGTGTAAAACCAGGTGTGTGTCTCAACTGTTATGTGAGTATTGGTCGACCAGATATGTGTGTGTATGACCGACGGGTCTTAAAGTAGTAAACATCTCATTATTATGTACTGTTAGTCATTAATGCATATTATTTATTAATTGTATTCCATTGTATATTACAGCCGTTCAGGCCGGATTCAATCATATGTTATTATTTTTATTATTATCATTATTATAGCCAAAGAGGCAAATGAAATTATACTTTATACTGTTACTATTATTATTATTATTATCATTACTGTGCCAAACGGCAATTAAAAATTTATTATAAAATACAGTCCACACTTTTATTTACAACGACAAGGCTGTTCAATATCATTTTGTTCACCTTAAGCGTTATCATTTTGGTCCTTCGAACCGGATAGGCTAAGTGAATTAGTAATCAGTATAAAATATAAATTTCATTAATTTGTATAATCATTTTTTTATATTTTTTTTATTGTTAAATAAGCACACTGTGCATCATTCCCAATATTGTAATTTAGGCCACAATCATGGATATCAAAAAGGCGACTTTAGAGTTGAAGGTTATTCATTCCAGTTTAAAGGCGATGAGCACATTTGCCAAGAACTTCAATAGTGAAACAAACAATCAAAGCCAAGTTAGAGTACGCTTAGAGGAACTTCCAAGTATTTCAGAAAAATTTGAAGAAGTGCAGTCAGTAAAAGAAGAACTTGATCAAAGGTCAGATGACGTAGTAATGGATGAACGAGCAAAATTTAGAGAGAGATTTTATGAAGTCAAGGCATCATTATTACATATATTGGAAGCTGAAGAATCCAAAAAATCAGAAGTGACCAGTCCATCCTACAGCATCACATCCAGTCATGTAAACAACAATATGATGAAATTACCACCTATTGAACTCCCTAAGTTTAGTGGTGATTGGAAAGAATGGACATCATTCATAGACTCGTTCAATGTTTACTTCCACAACAACAAAGATATGGCACCGGTTCATAAATTGCATTTTCTTAAGGCTTGTTTAGAAGGGCAGGCCAGTGACATTGTCAAATCTATACCAACTACAAATGAGAACTATGGGCAGGCCTATGATGCAGTAACAGCAAGATATGAAAACAAAGGAGCAATTATTCAATCACATATTAGAGCATTATTTGATACTCCTAAAATTTCAATAGCTTCAGTAATAGAGTTGCAAAGACTTTATCATCACATTACTTCAAATATAAATGCATTACAGGCTTTAGGTCAACCGATCGAAGCCTGGGACGCTTGGTTAGTCACATTAATATGCAACCGAATGGATAGAGTAACCGTCGGTGAATGGCACGTTAAATATAACAAGAAAGACCTACCAGAGTTCAAAGAAATAAAAGAATTTTTATTTAACCGTATTGCTGCCTATGAAGCAGGTGAAGTTAACGTTGGTGCATCATGTATTAAACAGAATGTGGTCAAGTCCAGTAATAAAGTTCAAGAAAAAAAGGTTTTTTTTGTTAAACCTGCGAACAAGGTAACCACATTGTACAAATGTCCCTCTTGCAATGAAACTCATAGATTATATCAATGCATAGGTTTTAATGATTTGAAAGTACCAGATCGCCGAGAATTTGTTTCAAAGAATCGGTTATGTTACAACTGTCTATACTCTAATCATCAAGCACAAGACTGCAGGTTCCCAGGTTGTCCAAGATGTGGTCAAAAACATAATTCAAAATTGCATTTGGTTCAAGCTCATGAAAATCAACAAACTAGTAGTGAAACGGAGCCCATTGCAAGCACAAGTGCTCTATGTTTTAGTAAGGGTATAGCACAATCAATGCATGCGTCAGGTGACATGGTCATGTTGGCCACAGCCGTGGTATACATTAAAGATGCAGCTGGCTATCCTCAACCCTGTAGAGCACTACTGGACTCAGGATCACAAGTTAATTTTATAACTGACGCCTGTGCCCAATTTCTTGGAATGTCTAAAACAAAATGTGTTCTACCAATAGTTGGTATCAACTCAATGAGGTCAGATGCACAGAGATTGCAACCAGTTGTAATGTATTCCAGGTTTGAAAATTTCAACGTTTCACTAGACCTTCATGTACTTCCTTCAATCGCCAATGATATGCCATCTCAATTAATACGTTTAGATCAGTCAAAGATTCCGGACATTGTTAATGAACAATTGGCAGATCCAAGCTATGATACACCAGGCAAGATAGATATACTACTTGGCGCAGAAATGTTTTACACACTTTTCAGTGGAGAAAAAGTTGCCATTACAAATAGTTTAGTGTTTCACAAAACCACACTTGGATGGGTTCTTACTGGAAGGGTATTAAATAGTGAAGTTATACAGTCTAGGTTTTCTGCTTGTACTTGTGCTAATGATGCGACCATAAACTCAGCGCTTTCACTATTTATCAGTAAATCAAGTGTTCGTAAAGATGAAGAAGATGAAGCTGAACAGCATTTTAAGAAGACACATTACAGAGATGAGTCAGGACGATTAGTTGTTAGCCTCCCATTAAATACTAAGCTCAGTTCGCTTGGTGAATCTAAACACATGGCGCAACAACGATTCTTTAACTTGGAAAAACGGTTATCTAAAGACAGAGAACTATGCATAGCCTACCACAAGTTTATGTCAGAGTACCTAGACATGAACCACATGGAACTAGTAACTAATGATGATTCAAATAGTCAAACATATTATTTGCCTCACCATGCTGTCATCAAAGAAGACAGCATCACCACAAAATTAAGAGTTGTGTTCGATGGATCAGCTCCATCAAGTTCCGGGCTATCCCTTAATGATGTCATGTTAAAGGGACCTATAGTGCAATCTTCCTTGTTCTCAATACTGTTACGATTCAGAGTACATAAGATAGCATTAACCGCAGATGTTGAGAAGATGTACCGTCAAATACTAGTAACTCCAAAAGACTGTCAACTACAACGAATTTGGTATCGTCCAAGTCCCTCTGAACTGTTAAGGGAATATAACCTTCGGACAATCACGTACGGTACAAAATCAGCTCCCTATTTAGCGACCCGTAGCCTGGTGGAAGTAGCCTTTTCAGCTCCAAATGAAGCTGCTCAAAGAGCTATAAAAGATGATTTCTATGTAGACGACCTACTTACTGGTGCTGAATCTTCAGACGAATGTTTCCAGCTATACAAAGATGTTTCAGACACGTTGGCGTCTCGTTGTCTACCGTTAAGAAAATGGTGTACAAGTTCTTCCAAAGTCCTGAGTAAATTACCAAATTCTGGGACCGATCCTAATCATGTTTTACAATTTAGTGAACAGGATGCTGTCAGTACGTTAGGTATAATGTGGCAACCCATAACAGATTGTTTTTGCTTTACATTAAAGCCATGGAATCCACCCAAAAAAATGACTAAGCGCACATTGCTTTCTGACATTAATAGGATTTACGATCCACTTGGTTTCCTAACACCAGTTCTTATAACTGGAAAGATCTTTGTTCAACAATTATGGGTGTTGAAGATTGATTGGGACACGACATTACCCGACGATATGCAACATCGGTGGAAAAACTTCTATTTATCTTTGTATGCGTTGGATAAATTAGCCATTCCACGTCGGCCATTGTCAAGTAATTGGTTAAACATACAGCTTCATGGATTTTGTGACGCCTCACAGGAGGCGTACGGAGCATGTGTTTACGCAAGAACACAGAATTCAAATGGAGATGTTGAAACAGCTCTATACGTTTCAAAATCAAGGGTAGCACCACTTCATGCGACCACTATACCCCGGTTAGAACTCTGTGGTGCTGTACTACTCAGTGATTTAACTACAGAAGTCATTTCTGAATTAAAAAAATTGAATATAAACCTACATCAACGCGACGTTGTACTGTGGTCAGATTCAACGGTTGTCATCGCCTGGATAAATAGTACACAGCCACTTAAGTCATGTGTATCAAATAGAATTGCTCAAATTTTAGACCACACTGATAAAACACAATGGAATCATGTGCCCACAGATTGTAATCCAGCTGATCTTATAACACGTGGACAAACAGTTAACAATTTACAACAGTGTTCAATGTGGTGGAGTGGTCCACACTGGCTCTCAAAGCACCACACTTCATGGCCTACACGTACTCAGCCAGTTTTAAATGAGGTTCCTGAAGTACGACCTGTTAAATTGGTGCTTCAGGCATCTGCTCAGCCAGTAGATGATTATCCGCTCAGCAAGTTTTCTAAATGGAACCATATGGTACGCGTTACAGCGTACATGTTGCGTTTCATATCCAACAGTCAAGGATGAAGAGGAAGAAGAACATAAACTACAACTACAATCATAGTATCATCTCAAGTCATTTATTATTATCATTTGTATTTATTGTTTAAGACAGTTTGTCTAGCCGCCTAAGGCTCAAGTCATTTATTATTATCATTTGTATTCATTGTTTAAGACAGTTTGTCTAGCCGCCTAAGGCTCAAGTCATTTATTATTATCATTTGTATTTATTGTCAAAGACAGTGTGTCTAGCCGCCTAAGGCTCAAATCATTTAGTATTATCATTATGTAATTGTTATTTATGTTTATAGTCAAAGACAGTGTGTCTAGCCATCTAAGGTTCGAATCAAATAGTATTATCATCATGTTAGTCGCTTGCTCTGTTTTCCACTCATAGATCAAGTATGTTTATTGTCGTTAAGGTTATTGATGTGCTACTGTGATCTTATCTGTTTATGCATATGTAATGTTCAAATTTCATGTCTTAGGGAAATCAGCATCATCATTAATCATGTCTAATGAGCCTTGAAAGGACCACATCCTTTCAAAGGGGGGAATATGTTTGCGCTGCAAACGAATTTATGTTGTGTGTTTCTGTTATCATTTTCATGTGCACGTATCAGTGCGTTCCACAGTTGCAGCCTTCGTCGGCTGATGCTTATCAGGCATTCGTGTGCGACCGGCCAGCTGTGGAACAATTATCAATGTTTTCATTATATTTGGTTATGTTAAAAACTTTAAGTTGTGTTTCGAGTAGTCATGCTTTCAGTGTCATAAAGTTCACAATGTTTTTGTTATCGGTTATTGTTTTAGTGTGGTGACACTGAAAGTCCGTTCGTTTTTGTGTTGCTCTATTGTGCCTCCAGGACATCGTGCGGGGCCTTTGATTTCACTTTTGGTGCTCGGTGCCGAGCGGTTCATTTTGTTTTTCATGGTTCAATGGTTGTCTCGTCATGTTTATGATGAGCTGTTTGCAGTCGTCCAAAACCACGTTGTTGTGAATTTGTGTTTAAGTTTCTGGTAATTATCGTTCTTAGCAATTTGTATTGCCACCACTAATGTGTTTCTGTACAGGATGGTCAAAATTACCAAAGATTTGTGTTGTGAATCAACGTGTTTTGGTGTACCTCATTGCTCGTGGGAACAGTAGTGCGAACACTAGAAATTCTGTTCCGGCTGCATTCTATGTATTATTGTTATTGAAGTCATCGTCAACAGTTGCTGGCACACATCCGAACGTACGCAGGGTCAATTTGTCTTTATTGTAATTTAGTGATATACTTACAGGCCCTGGTGCGGTAACGTGGGTGTAAAACCAGGTGTGTGTCTCAACTGTTATGTGAGTATTGGTCGACCAGATATGTGTGTGTATGACCGACGGGTCTTAAAGTAGTAAACATCTCATTATTATGTACTGTTAGTCATTAATGCATATTATTTATTAATTGTATTCCATTGTATATTACAGCCGTTCAGGCCGGATTCAATCATATGTTATTATTTTTATTATTATCATTATTATAGCCAAAGAGGCAAATGAAATTATACTTTATACTGTTACTATTATTATTATTATTATCATTACTGTGCCAAACGGCAATTAAAAATTTATTATAAAATACAGTCCACACTTTTATTTACAACGACAAGGCTGTTCAATATCATTTTGTTCACCTTAAGCGTTATCAACTGGGTAATATTGACACTCCATATAGTACTCCATTACTTGGTTATTGAGATACTATCTACACGTCCTACTAGTACAGTTTTATCCAGTTATACATTTGTTATATATTTTATACTTTTGTTTTACCAATTTTTGTGAATAAGGAGATTATCAAATCAAATAAAGGTGGTAACAAAGGTTTTTACAAAGGTTATGTATATGTTGTAAAGTATATTGGCGTATCAAAAATAACCTGGAGGTGTTCTCAGAGGTGTTCAATGAAATGTACTGGAGAATTATACACCGATCTCAAAATTTACAGTATCACACTATACCCAACAAAATATTTATATTATTATTGTATTATTACAGTTGAAAATTGACTGACCTGCTGTGACTATTACTATTATAATTAACAATTAATTATTATTTTCATTATAATATATAATAATATATTATTATATTTTGTTCACATTTATATTTGTATTTCTGGGCTTTTTTTCCGTGGGCTTTTTTTCCTCAGTGTATTTTTTTTTTTGGGCTTTTTTTCCGTGGGCTTTTTTTTCTGGGCTTTTTTTCCTTGGGCTTTTTTTCCGTGGGCTTTTTTTCCGCGATTCGCCACAAATATATAAAAATATTTTTATATATCTGTGACGTTAGCAGTTATTCTGTGGCACGGACTAAGATATCTTTAGTGTTTAGTCCGTGTTCTGTGGTAACAGTCTGTATCGTTTCCACGCATAGATAATATAAAATAATTTTGAAACAATAGGTAATAGGTATACTAGGAGCAGCCTTAAATTAAATTTTCAAGCTTTTTTAACCAACAAATAAAATTATATTAATATTTATAGAAAAAAAAAACTTAAAAAATTGGAAACTGAAAATGTCCGTAAACAGCTCAAAATAAGTCAAAATATTTGGAAAATGTTATGGTGTATAGAAAATGCTAATATAAACATTCAGTCAAAATGTCATGCACCTATACCTAAAGTCATTTGTTATAGAGTTACTCCAAAAACCAAAATCGATTTTCTCGAAAACAGATTTCGCTTAAAAACTCTCATTTTTTCTTCATTCTTCTTTTGATTTTCACGTCGCTTTTGAAAACTACTGGAACATTTTTACTTTTCAGCCCCCAAAGTACCAACTAAAGATTCACTTGCCTATCAGAAAAGATACTGTTGAAGAAAATCTAAGCATTTTTACTGTCCTAAAAGGTGATGGGACACAAAAATAAAAAATTTGAAAATGTAAAAATTAATAAAAAAAAGGTGCTCTGCTGTACAGTAGGTAACAAGGGGGTCACTGTATAATGGATGGTATTAAATTTGAATTCAATGATATAATATCATTGTATAAGAAAAACGATTCTAAGCGGAGACGGTATGTCAGTCTAGGTACATAGGCGCAAATTGGGGGGAGGGGTGCTTATACCGCTTGGGGGGGCTAAGCCCCCCAAAAACATAGGACATACAATTTTTATTGTAGATATGTTATATTGCAATGGTCTGCTTGACTTTAATATATTCAGCCCCCCAAGCCAAAAGTTGAAATTGGGCTTATGTCAAGGTATATAATACATATTATATATACTTAAATATAGTATTAAAAAATAAAAAATTAAAAAATTATTTTTTAAAAACACACTTCTCTAAAAAAACAAAAAAATAATGAAAAATTTAAAAGTGTGTGGTATAATATGTCAAGTTTAAGAGCGCCACACACTTTTAAATTTTTCATTATTTTTTTGTTTTTTTAGAGAAGTGTGTTTTTAAAAAATAATTTTTTAATTTTTTATTTTCTACTTTTTAGTTAAAAAAATTTTTAATTTTTTTTTTTTTTTTTTTTTTTTTTAAAATTTTTTTACGGATTATTGTATTGTCATCCAAGACCAAGGTCTATACAAATTTTCAGAATTTTTCATCTTCAAAAAGTGCCTCAAATCGAGCGCGCAAGATTTGATCACAGACAGACGTGTAACCAAACTTAAGAAAAGTGTTAAAAAAAATTGACCTATAATAGGTACCTATTATAAATTCCAAATTAATCATATCACGATATCCATATTAGGTACTTATAACGCGTTATACATCAATAACAAACCGTGATACTATCATTGATATATAATAGTATACAATTTAGAAGTTTCAAGTACCCACGAATATTATTATACAGTCACAACAAAATAACTAAAATAGGTATTCTAGGTTTTTTAATATGTAAATATGTCCAAATTTGAATTTAAAATGACTATAAAAATAAAACTGTGCTTGTGTATTTTTTAGATTTTTTGGGAACAGAATTAACCACTTACATGGTATCTTGTTTTACATTTTCAATTCTTAGGTATAGAAGTTGAACATTTTATAAATTTTTAACTACAAAATAATTATTCAATTTTAAATTTGATAAATTTTGTAGAAATTCGATCTTTAAATGCTTATAAAAAAAAAATTGTGCCTATGTATTTTTGATATTTTTCAACTGCTATTGTAACAATAGATCAGAAGCCTTGTATTAATTTTTCACGTTTTTTAGCCCAACAAATAATATTTTATGGTTATTTATAGAAAAAAAACCAATAAAATTGAAAACTGACAACGTCCGTAAACCACTCAATAAGAGTCAAATTATTTTTAAAATGTTATCTTGTATAGGAAATGTTAATATAAACATTCATTGAAGTTTTTAAGTGTCTACAGTCATTCGCTTTGAATCACAACAAAATAAGAAAATCGTTATATGAGAAATAGAGTGAATATCACACGTTGTATAAAAATACGAATTTCATAAAAATTTAATTTAACTTTCTTCTAGAAAATTTTTTTTGATAAAGTTATAAGGAACCTTGTATTAAATTTTAAAATCTTTGATATCATATAAAAAGAAAAAATTTTTATGAATTCTTAACTCAAAATAATTTGATAATTTTCGTGATTTTACCGCTCTGATATACTATCCGCCACTAGTCGTTCGCGGCATAATATATCATGTGACTATATTGGACAACAAAAACATCTATGGACTATGGTAGTTGGTGTACCTACTGTATTTTTTAATTTTCTGTGAATTATTTGCATGAGTGTTTATAAAATATAATAAACCGGATAAATAGTCGGTAAATAAAAATAAAACAAAATTACCATGAAGATTGTAGATTTACCATAGGGTGTGGGTTTATTTTTAGTGACTGAAAAAATTGTATTCACCTCTGGGTTACAACTTACATGCTTTAGACGTTTGTGATAAAGAGTTTTATCCCAATATTCATGAACTCTTGAAAATATTTTGTACTTTACCTGTATCAACTGCTACACCTGAACGATGTTTTTCAAGTTTTTATTAAGTATTAACAGGGCCATATTTATAATTTTTGCACCCAGGGTCAACAATATTTGTACACCCTAACCCCCACAAAAAAAAATGAATCCGTTTTTTAATTATGAAAATTTTGTTAAGAACACAGATCACGATGATACATTATTTTAATTATTGTCAAAATGTATAACAAAAATTAATAGTATAGTTATCATTCGTTGACAAAATGAGTAAATGACGCCAAATGTCCGTATCATAGTCATACAATGCAAAAAGTCCAAATATAGAGGTACTATACTATAGGTACTCAAACAAATTCTTACCAAAAAAAAAAAATATTTATTTATATAGGTAATATACACCGGCGCCTGGTAGCCCCCCTAAATGTCTCAAAAATTGGCAGTTCGGTTGTCCCCGTTGTCCCCCCTCAAATACGGCCCTTAGTATTGTCTTACTTAATAAATAGTATGACAGAAGTAAATATTTTATCAATTTTCCTATCTAATATTGAATAATAACTATAAATTAAGTAGTAATTATTATATACTTTGTTTATTAGAACCGACTAAGGGGCCGACTTAGGGCCCGTTTTTCAATCATAGTTTAAACCTGTTACGCTTAACCCATAGATTTTACCGGTCGAATTCCGCGATTTAACATTATAGTTTAACTATTGTAATACGGGCCATTTATGTGTTGGCATGCCACCGGTAAATACAATAATCCTGCCAGATGAGGTTATCGCTGAACATCCAAAAAAATAGAAAATAGGGTTTTGTGTTTTAACTATTTTTTTTTGTTTATCGTATAAAAACGGGATTGGTGTTATTGGTATGAATTTATAATAAATACTATTACTAATCAGTTTGTGTTAGGTAATTTCGCCTTTATCCATAGGTAATAACCTAACAAGTTAGGTGATTTTAAAAATGTATATTATGTACGTATTTATGGGTGTACCTATTATTATATATTTCATCCTCCCCCTAACAAAATTCCTAAATACGCCACTGATGTCGTACGCGAACTACCCAAATAGGCGATTTATCGGTTATTCCGAGAGAGATAATTTACGATTTATTATTTATATTTGTATGCTTATGACGTCCCTTTTATGGTTAAATTAAAAAAATTAAAAAACGATATTTTAATATGGGCAGTGATTACACAGTTAGTGGCACTCGTCGCTGCGCTCCTCGGCGCCGTCGCTCCGCTCTGCAAATCGAAAATGTCCCTCGACTTGCTATGCAATACCACCTTAAGTAGGTCATAGGTAAGTTATTTTAGTATAAGGTATTTTATAAAAATAATACTTGTATAATTGTATAATATTTGTAAGATAAAAATAATATGGTAGACTTGGGTAGATCATGCACTACTTGAAAACAAGTTTGGTAGATCACGTACGACATCACTATACCAGGAACAATTTCATATTTTCATACGAAGATTATTCGTTTAGACGTATAGTATACAGTGTGTTCACAATTTAAGGTAACACTAAATATGTCAGGTGGATGACATTGTATTGCAATGGGGTGTAGGGAGTACTTAAATACATATTTTCAGATAAATTTAAAATTTTTAACCCGTCGTTGGTATCGCTATGTAAAGTCCCGCCATTGGTATTGAGTGAGCGCTGCGCTCACCTTGTTGTTTTTTCATCATTATTTATTATATAATGAACATAAAATATTGAAACCAACAACGAATTATTTATAGTGTAATCTTTTACAAAAAATGTTCTTACAATTTTTCTCGATTATAAATTGTTAACCACTAAAAATTAATTTATAATTTTTTAATACATAATTATATAATAAGATAATCATTATCATTCATCTTCGCCTTAGTGGTCTGGAATATTTTGCTGATTATTATACAGTACACATATAAATGTTGGGTGCTACTGAAAAATAGGTCTGAGTTTACGAAAAAGTATTTGGTTGACCTATTGAGTGAGTGAAACGCTGAATTTATGGATATTAACAACATTGCATGTCGATATCTAATCAAGAATTATTTATACAATTTTTATATTTGCAAAAGTATACTTAAATATGTGTCGATTGAAGGTATAAATAGTATCAGATGAATCAAGTAATAAATAAACAAATGGCTCTCAAAATACTAACGAGGTGAGCGCCGCGCTCACATCGGGACCACTGACGGGTTAACACTATTGGTTTGCGCATGCACAATCTAACTTACATTTTTTTAAATAGAAATATTATTTTTTTCCTACATTTTCGGATAAATTTTTTTTTTAAAAGTTTTTTTCTATTTTCAAAACTGACCAAGTTAGGGTTCGAACTCGGCCACGGGTGGCATTTTTATTCTGGCAGTCACGGTGTCCGGAGATAGAGGCCGTCATCCCCCACCCGGGCATGGCAGATACGGGTGCCCACTTAAAAATTCTGCCAAAACAAACACACACGTAGTTATCTGCCATGCCCGGGTGGGGGATGACGCCATGACACATCGTGACTGCCAAAAGAAATTCCGCCCTATACGTTTGATTATTCAATGTAATTTAATTTAAAACGTTCATACTAAATGTTTGTGGATTTTAATAAACTTTTTTGGTTTTTTGCACCCACGGGTTATTTTTAAAAGTACAAGACATTTTAATTTTACATCCCCTTAAGTGTCAATAAGATCAAATTTTCTATTAGAAACCACCGTCAAAGTTAAATATTGATGCTGTATTACTGCTCCAAGAGGCAATGACAGATACAAAAACCCAATCATTGTAAAAGAAAATATATATATAATATTTTTAAAACGACTAACGAGTATTAACTATCACTTATTAAGTGATAGTTGTAACTAGTTAGCTAAGAATCAATTAAAAAGTACAAGGTATTTAAAAAAAAAATGGATTTACCTCATTATTTTATTTAATCTAAAAGTATTGGTATATCCTATTTTGATGTTAATTGGTTATTAGATGCCACAGTTTAATAACAAAGTTGAATTAGGATTATCGTGTTACCTATAATCCTTTTCACTCATTAAAATACCTATATGACACTGTCATTTACAAATGTTATGGCCATAATGTAAACATTGTTTAACAATAAAATAAACTTATAATTAAATCCTAATAATTACTAATAGTAATAATAAAACCATTAATACATGTTGATATGCATTCATCCAATAGTTAGTGATATTAATTAATACTTAAGTAGAAAATGTATTTATTGAGCAGCATATTTCATACATTATCAATAAAAAATGATAAAATAATTTAAATTATATTACTATCTATCCATTGTAATATGACTGGAGGTAGTCTGAAATATAAATTAGAAGCTGTCTTCACTTTGTCCAGATTGATTGAACACTTGTATAGCCGATATTCTCTTAATACATTTTTATTCTCTATAACTGCTACAGGTAGTATCAATTGCATTACCTACATTTATAAACATGATTGAAAAATATATTTATATAAAATATAAAAAATTTAAAAAACTAACTGATATTCTTTCAAAAGCTTTTATGATAACTTGTCTTTTTGTTACAAGTAATGTTGAATTTCGTAATGCAAATTTACAATAACGATCATAAATCATTTCAAAATTAAATGGTTCTTGATCATAGATTTCTGAGTGATGGCAAATTGAAATCATTAAACAAAGTTCAAGAACTGATAGCCCTGTAGAAAAAAAAAACTCTAAAAATATTTTTTTATCTTAAAACAATTAAAATATTTACCTAACAAATGTACAAGAATCATATCTTTTTTAAACAATGTAGTGTAATTATTTGTTAAATTTTCAACGGTTAGTATTAAGTCATTTGACATATTTGAAAGTGCATGAAACTGAAAACAAAATAAATATTACACTATTTTATTAAACACCAATTAATAATTGTAATACTTACAATGAGAAGATTTAATTTTGTACTATTATTGCTTGATTTCAATAGATCCTTCATCAAATTTTGTATTCTTACATCTGATATTAATAATTCAATATTATTGTTCCAGTTTTTCAAAACATCAGCCTTTACTTTACAATGTTTGTTTATTATAAGTGAATGTTTAAATCTTTCTAATAATTGACTAATTTCTGATGGAGGATTCAACATCATTATATTATGAGAAAACCTAGATTTGACTCGTTTTTCAAGTAATTCAATAACATCAATACGCGATGTTAAGCCAATAATACACAATGGGCTCTAGAAAAATAGAATAATATATTAAAGGCTACATAATTATCTCTATATGGTTAAGTAATTTACTTGTTGAGATTGAACAGAATCAAACAAATTATACAACAATGTTTGATTAGTATGAGAACAAAACATATCAAATCTATCTAATACCATAATAATTGATTTTGAAGCTGTTTTGTTTCCCGCACGAAAGCTCTCCAATAAAAAACTTATATTATCTACAAAAATCATTAATATTAGAATAATAGCATTACTTAAATTATATGACTAATAAAAATTTGAGGTTACAAAAAAAACCCAAGCACATACGAGAAAATATAGTGAATACAAAATAGAGCCGCATCAGTTTTACTATATTTTTTATTAACTTTTAGTTTTTTTATTTCGGGACTGTGGCAGTTAAAACAAATATTGTATTAATTTATAAAATATACTCTTCTCGATTTATGAGTTATAACATCCCTAATATCTTATTTTATTGCCACTTGGCACTTATTGTAAGTGCATAACATACATTCCAAAGTAATTGTTATTTTTTATCCCCCTTCTGTTTTATAAATATTTATTATTAGGTCAGAAGCTATCTTTAGTAAATACAAAAAAAAAAAAAGATGCATATAGGTAGGCTGATTTTAATTTTGTTATTACTTTATAAGTAATTTGGTGCTTATGGCACTAAAATTGAAATTAGTATAATGTCTTTAGAGTTTTACACTATAATGGTAAGGTATTAAAGGCTTGGATAACATTTCAGTTAGTATTCTGTTTATACTCTCTCTCATATAAGAGTAACCTTTAGCAATCGAGTTTTGATCGGTTCAGACTACACCCATTGGTTTTTATCAACTTACCGGTGCTACTATCATATGCAGACTACAAATGCATGAGGTCTACCATCATAAATGTAGACCGCATATTGTAGTAGAAAAAAATATAGATAAACTGCATTATAAACATGTACATCCACTAAAAAATAAAATAAAATTGGTCAGATAAAACGTTCTGATATATGTCATGTCTTGTATTTTCCAACTATGTTTATTGTTATTAAAAGATATCTACCTACAATTACTGTGCGACATTATAACAAATTGAATAAGTTTGTTAGTTATGTATTGGTCGACGATTGTGTTGTACTGCGTTTATATTTGTGTCCGTTTTGTATAATATAGTGTGCATTATGCAATTGAAAGATTTTTATTTGACTTCTTCTTCTGTGGTTAACAACTTATGAGATTCTTTCACCATTCTATTTATTTGACTGTGAAGAGAATGCCACTGCATATTTAAGAGAGTACTGTTTATTAGACACTGTCGAAGAAATATTGCCATGTCATAAGTGTAGTTCTGAAATTGTTAATTAATCAAGGAGATGACTTTCGTCCTGTTCTTCGGTGCAATAAAAAAGGATGTCAGACAGTAGGTCTAATAGTAACCTCAAACTTACCGACATTTTAGAATTAGTTTTTTTTTAAGATACTAATATCTTAATATTAGATATTTACAAGGTAGACCGCATACGTGAGGAGAAGATAAATATGTCGGTAGTCCGCATATGAGAGTAGCACCAACCTAGTCAGCTTTCGTTTATGATAATAGACCATGAGCAGGAACTAAACACCTGAGGTTATTCTTATTTGAGACAAAGTAGGCATGTTTATCGATACAGCATTGCTAATGTTGAAAATATATTTAAAAAAATACAAACCAGCATACGACCCTTCTGCAAAAGTTCCATCTAAATTTTCCATTTGGAGTTGTTGTATAATACTTTTAAGTGCTAAATTATCATCAGTATGAATGAGACCGTTTAATAATACAAGTGTATGAGATTCAGGTGAAAGAGATTTTATAACTGATTCCAATAACTGTAAACATGAATTTAAACATATAAATAAATATCTACATACTATACAATTGTATTTTAATAAATATATATATACTATTGATTTTCCACATCCACGAGGCCCAAGTATAATCATTGAGTCACTCTCTCCGAAATCAGTAGTTTTTTTAATAATCTGTATGAGTTCATTTTGTTCTTTGTCAAATCCATGTAGTTGGTCATTCAAAATAAGTTTTTTTTTCATATTCTGAATACAAACACCAAAATCGATTCCCATAATCTAAAACAAAAAAATGATTTGGTAAATAGAATTATTACAATAATTATAGGCGGATTCATGATAAAAGTACTTCGATCATGGGTTGGTTTGTGATTTACTAAGTATGCATACAATTTGGACAATTAATAATAACAAAATAAAAACAAATTAAGATTGATATGGAAAATTACATAGAGTAATTGAATAAATGTAAGTAAAGCATCTTCAGTCTTCTTAAGAACATAGATCATTTTTTGAACTGGCCTCGAGTACTAAGGCTACTGCAATCCTTTAAAATATGTGAAAAAAAACCTTCTACTAAATGCTTAAAAATATACATCTGTACCTATTAATAATTTAACCAAAATTACTAACTTAACGGAATAAATTAACTGGCAAATGATTGTTAAAGACTTTTTGAAATCTTTCAAAGACCAACAAAGACAACCACTACGTCATACTACATCATAATATATTTAATACTTAAATGGTGCTTCTGTCTGGACCGATGATTCTATTTACAATAGACAGCGGTAGATAGGGAAATAAGCTTACCTTTATACGTCTAAAACGTCTGATCCCTAATAGTTGAGAGTAGCGATTCGTGTCAGTGACCGTAATAACCAATGAGTAATGGATATTGATGAACCACACTATTATAGTACCACCAGACAACGAATAATGACTATGTAGTAAGAAGTAACTACGGACTAAACAATAAAAAAATAAGCATTGAAGATTGAACTATGTCGGAAAATGCGAAGTGAAGTTTACTGCAATACTGCGTAAGTTTGAAAACTGAACTACTGAAAACAGTGAAAACAGGTGATAAGGGAAAGTTTGGCGGTAAAATAAACGGCGAGACATTGATAACGCGCAGAGATTGTTGTTATCAGTGGACGGCAGCCCGCCCCAGTCATTGTTGGCGACACTGGGTTCGCACGTCCATATGGTACTACGCAAAATGGCGTTTCCACGATACGCCATACGCATAGTACGCGTACTACACCGACCGTACTACGTTCGCGTTTGGTACATCGGTGCCCCAATACATCCGATTGCCACCGCGGTCGGACTCCCACATCATCAGTCGTGCTTCTGGCTGGTGTTGTTTTCTTCCTGCGTGCGTGAAATGTTATTTTGTTTTTTTTTTGGACAAAAAAACAGATAAAAAAAAAATGAGCCGTACCAATAAGTTTAAAATTATCTCTTCTTGAATTTAGTCGGTCCTATACTCCTATCTGCACCGCGCTCTCTCTTTCTCTCTCACTCTATCTCACTCTCTCTGTCATTATCTTTCTTTTGTTTTTCAACACCAACAATACACTATACACAGTGCACACACGGAAGCGATCGGGCTGCCGTATTCCACAGGATGGACGCGGACGTATCGAAAAGGTAAAATAGATGTTACCTAAACGTTGTCTTGTCGGTTGGACGAAAGTGAATCGAAAAACGGAACTAACACGCGCGTCGCTGTTGTGTTCGAGTTGCAGTACACGTCTCGCCTGAGATTTCGTAACCAACAGGACCGAGATTAAAATTATAACTCGCCGTTCCCCGTCGGACGGATGCGTAACAACAATAACAATTATCGCGGTCCGTCGTCGTTACGGCTGACGCGACACTTGCGATTCTACATTTCTGCCGTCATGTCCATTGTTGTTGATTGTTGCTCCGTTCGAATTTCTTGAGCTACGCTTTCTTATTTTCTGTCACCCCTTACCTTCACAACCACCATCACTTGTTGTTGTTCATCGAAAGCATCCTTAATTTTTTCAGTAAAATCATACCTACACTTGTCTTGTGTCCCACATTAACTGATTAACTACGACAACTTAATGTCAAGGTATGTTAATGTATTATAATTTATAAATATAGGTAACACTAAATGCTAGCTAAATTAGGTACCTACCTTCTCTCTTTTTACTGATTTTACTATGAGTTTTTTTTTTTAAGTATTCATTATTCAGTTCTACCTGTAGTACAATGTTGGTGTATTGAATATTCTACCTACATCATTCATGTATAAAATATTCTTATCAAATAGAATTTTTACATAGGTACAAGTGTATAACCACAGAACATAGAGTATACATTGTTTCACTTGTGTTATTATGTAGATTATTATGTGTCTGAAATTTGAGTAGTAGCTTACCAAGATTAACACTGAGATAATTTTTATTTTATCTTTACACCTACTTTCTATTTTGATCATGTTTGAAATTAATAGTACCTATTTATCTGTTCAACTTCTATGATATATTGTATTCTGTATGCAGTTTGTTATTTATTAAACAATGGTACCTATGACTGATTTTCCAAAAAAATAACTATACCAAAACCTGGGTATATTACTTTAAAAATATTTTTGTATATTATGGCCTTATGGGCATAAAATAATTAATAGTTATGAATCATACCAATAAGTAATGACATTATTGCATCAAACAAAATAGGTACTGATGTAAAATAAATACATTATCTATAAGCTTTTATAGAATGAATTTAAAATGTATTTTTTTTCTAATTATTTAATAGAAATAATTATTAGGTAGGTACTGCAATAGGTTGCGATATGAATATGATAATACTTTAAATTAAAATGTACCTAAGTCACATTTAATACATTACCTAATAGGTATACTCTGTACAGATTAAGATTGAACGGCTCTCTCGGCCAAAACACGTTTTATTCGCCCATTCTGGACACTGGTAGGCTCATATGCCCAGCGGCCAGTTCTGGTGTTGACTGCCAGCCAATCATAGAATGCATAGCCATCGCATGGGAGGTCAGGCACTGTTCGGTGGCTTAGTCTGCATGCCCGACACGGTTCAATTTTAACCTGAACTCAGTATAGTGTACTTGTACTCATTTGACATTTGTATCTAAAATGTATCAATTTTATCAATTATAATTATCACACATGCCCACATATTATCTTATGAGCATTAAGATGTTGTATTATTGATTTTTTTTTAAAGTAAATAATCAACTATCAACAGGTGGTATGAAGTTTGTTCATGAGATTATGTATTTAAAACTCATCACAATATTTTTTGTTAGGTATGTACTAATTGTTCTTTCATTAATGTCTTTTGTCTATACAACATAATCTTTATCATACCTAAAAATATGTACTTATAGGATAACAAAGGTTTAGAACTAGGTATAGATAAAACTTGAGAATTTTGTCAAAGAGTTACTATTCATTTGTTTTTATATAAAATATAGTCTTTAATATTAATTTTGTGCTCTTACTATATATTATACAAAATAAATTATTTTATAATAAATAAATAAATAAATTTTAAATAAGTTATATTTATAATTATTGTTCTGTTTTTAGGGTGAAATGAATTGATGATGGGTTTCCTGACCTGGTTTTTAACATCTGGTGATAATTTCTAAAATTCTTTAATTTAATGGACTTAATTTTCAATCCTAGAAGACCTGTTTGTTTTTATTTCCATTTAATCAATTAAATTATCCTTATCCAGTCTGCTCAATTAATTTTTATCAATGGCGGATCAGTTGAGTGAAACAAGCACTACAACCACTGATCACGGCAATAATTGGCCAAACACAAAACTACCAGCAGATAGTGATGTTCCTGATGATGTTTCTAATGGCCAAGAAACCCATAGTTTTGCTGATATATTAAGCACTGCATTCACGGCCACTGGACCTGTGCCAAGCCCACCAGCAGATACAGAGTCAAATATGCAATTAGGTAAGTCAAATTTTGTTCTAAATGATATCCATTATCAAAATATTTTATTTTATTAAATTATCTATAAAAACATCATTATTAGGACATCGTAGCCACATATGTTATTTCCGTCTTACTATACCAAAATGTATTACCAGAAGTTCCATATTTGTATTGTTAGCTTAATATTAAATATTAAAGTCAGTTAACCTATAAGGGCCCGTTTTATAATCATAGTTTAAACCTCGATTACGCTTAACCCACTGATTTTAAAATATCGTAAAAACAATCGGTGAACACAGATAACATTGTTACATTTAAGTTTGATATTAGGTTCAATTCACTCTAATATTTAACATTTGAACTGCTGGACGAACATTTTGATGTATTATTGTTTTAGTAAGATGGAGAAAACGCATGTGGGAACTATGTCCTCTTAAGTCAAAACGGTTGAAGAAGGAAATATCCTTCTTGACCATTTTGTGTCACTTTTTCTTCCCTTGTTTATTTTATGTAATTAAGGTTATTTGTGCTGTCCAAATTCATATAGTAAATTAATAATCATGCATAATTTTCATATTCTCTTGCAGTTAAAGGTATATTCTATTATTACTATTATCATTGATTATAAATACTAGTAAAAAATCTGGGAGAAAATATCTTAGATTCAGTCAATACAGATAATATATTATGTTATTTTTGTTTTTGAAAAGTAGTGATTTAAACTTATTCCCTTTTACCATTTTCATCATTCTGTATAAAGTAATACCTGTTAATAAATATAGTTACATTTAATTTCTAATAATAGAAATGTGTAGGCTTACGGATATGTATAGTATGATTGTCGATAGTGTTAATTAAATTGTTGTGGTTTCATTTAATTATTTCTTGTTAACTGTTTTAATTTATTTATTCGACATGTTTGAAGTATGGTGACAACACATTATATTATACCATATTCAATTAAAACAAATACCTATAGCTATTTCAATTAAATTTATATTTAACTAAATTTCAAATATATTTCCTTTGTTAATAAAATCCTGAACTATGACTTATACAATTCCTTAGATATGTTAAAAAGTGTGTTACAATTAGTGGTGTTAAACGAGGTATTAAATATAAAATACAATCCTATTCATAGTTCTTTGAAACATTCAATTAATCTTTTTCAGTTAATAGATTGACACTTCTTTAATAAATATTGTTATTTAACCAGGCAAGCAGAAAAAAAAATCTTAGTGTTCTTAGTGTGTATTTATTCAAAATATAAAATATGTATTCTATATAATATTTTTACATATTAGTTATTACTTATAATAGTATAAAAATAATATTAATTGTTGTGTTAGACTCTTTGCCCAGGGCCTCGTAAAACCTAGTGCTGGCACTGACTATAATGCATGATTGACAGATTTCTTTGAGTAATTGAAGTATTCTTTGATTAAATTTCTTAATTATTATTTTTAAATAATAAAATCGTTTTAAAGTTATTAACAGTTATTATAAATTGTTATTAGGAAATGAAATGGATTATGATCCATTATTTGCGGATGGGAGTGATTTAGAGACTGAAGATACGCCACAAGAATTCTCTCCGTTAAACTCTGATATATGGCGGTATGGAAATACTCTTATAGAAACGCCTTGGTCAGTACCACGCACTGATGAATCATCCAGTCGAACTGTTAACCATCCAGTTCCGTCTACTCCAACGTCATCTGAAATGGGAAGAAAAAGGTACTTAAAAATAAAACAAATAAATATATTTGTTCAATCTCAAATTTCCAATTTTTTTATGTATATTATTTTAACTATATCTATTTTGTTAGATCATTGCTTTCTGGTGATAACAACTTGAGAATGAAAACTGGTAAACCTGATACAAATCGTCCATTGACTTATCCCCGACATCAAATGTCTAACCGAATGTATAGACCACGCTATGGTCAAGATCAAATGTCTTCATCTGCATATACATCCATGAGTAATCATGGAGGAAATTATAAATACACGCAGCGACCAAATTCTCAGGTTCACACTACTACAGCTCCAAGTGATCATTCTATAGCAAGTTCTTCAAATCAAAACAGAATGATTAACCCTCAAACTTCATCAAGTAAATTATGAATTATGAATTAATTATACTTATTATTTGTTGCAGCATTCTTGTTAGTTCCCTAATTTGATTGTCAATTAGCTTCTAGATTACATTGTGATAAATAGTTTATAATGTTTATTAAAACCTCAATAGTGAAAATGATAAAACTATTTTTTTAATAAAATGTTGTTAATGTTAATAAAATTATGTTTTTTTTGGGAGAATTTTTAGAAATATTAGTGTATAGTTTATTTCTTATTATACAGTTATTGTATCAGAATTGTATTTTCGGTCTAGAAGAATTCTCCATTATGTATTATTATTATACATGGTATATTAGTAATCTTGAGTTGGGTAGTATTTATAACTTTGCATGTTAACAGAAATATTATAATATTAGTTCTATTTAAAAAATGTAATTGAGAAAGCCTTTTTTTTTAAAAAAATGAGTAATTATTGTTCATCAGACATTGTACATACCTGGCTTGGTCAAATGTCAACCCTTGCCGCATAGTAAATGGGTTTTGAATTTCTAATTAGATTTTCTTGTTATAGCTGAAGAATATACAGTCTACGGTATGAATAACATTGGAGCCCCACAAGCAACCCGTTTTAATAATGATCCCCGAAGAGCAGAATGGCCAAATGTGATGGATGCTGATGATGATGAAGACAGTGGAATAGAATTAGTCACAGTCAACAATTTTCAAAACCGGAATATAAATCAATTAGTAAGTTATTATCATCTCAATTTATATCATTCTAATTTATAGATACTTAAATTTTATATTGTACTTAAAAATGGTTTATTTTAACTGTAAGTTTTTAAGTTAATATGGACTATCATTTATCTATTCAGAAAATTATACTTATTCAATATTATGAGTATCTAAAAGTATTAATATTTCAACAGCCAACTGGTCCACCTGTAGTAGATTTAACTCAAGAGTCTGAAGAAGTCAATGATCCTTTAATGAATCATTCAGGAAGAACACCACAAGCTGACATATCTATGGGCCATACAATGTTTAGTCGTTATCCAATTATTCAACCACAACGGCAGTATGTTGGTCATTCTGCTATGCGTTCTATGCCTGCTGGATACACTCAACAATTTCCTCCTAATCCGTCCCCTCTGTATCGAAATGATGTGATTTTCATGGATCAACCTCCTCAAGCTCCTTGTGTACATACAGCTCACCCACCTCCTGGTACTCCAGGTTGGCCGCCCCCGTGTAGTCAATGTCATAATACATCTAGGGTTGTATTTGGAATGGGTGGAATGGGTAATCATATACATCCAGCACACCATCATCATCATGGCATGATGGCTACACATCCTATGACTCCATGTGTACCTTCAAATGTACCTTTATATCATCAAAGATTATGGTATAACCAACATAGAATACAAGAAATGCAAAGAAGAAGAATGGATATGATGAATGGGTGAGCAAATTGAATTACTGTTTAATATAAAATGTATACTTACAATTAGTTTTAACTTCTAACATTTTATTGTCATTAGTTACTAAATTTATTTCAATATTTGACTTATTAAGATTTTTTTGTATAAAATGTATAAAACAACTATTATGTATTACAATAAAATAACATTTATTTAAAAATTAACCAATAATCATTTTTGTGAGGTAACTAAATGATCTTGTATAAAAACTGGCTTAGTATTTTTGTATTGACTTAAATATATAGATAAAGTTAATCACATTTTTCACTTTTCAGCGGCTCTGTACGATCATTAAGAAGTATACCACCAGTTTCATGCATGCAGGGATATCAACAACCACCCCAACCAACACCGGTCCATCCATCTATTCAAGCAATCCATACGGTGTTGCCTCCACCTCAGCAACCAAATGTGTTCAGCCGGCCAGAAGTAATTACTTCACGTAGAATTGGTCCTACTGCTGTCATTGTAAGTAAAAGTTACTGCATCCTATTTATACATACATGATATTATATATTATAATTCGTAATATTTGTATATAACATTACATAATAATTAAAACTTAGGATGCAATCAAATTTAAGTTTTCACAAACTCAAAATTAATTTAAAAATGTATCTTATTTGAACTTTTAGATAGTTTTAAAGCAACTATTTCCCTCTTATATGTATATACATTTTTATTATTGATCTTTTTTAAGTCCGGTGACTAAGGCCAATAGCTTGTTTGTAGGTAGTGTAGGGTTGGAATGGTAGGTTTTAAAAACGTGTGTGTTTTTTTGGCAAATTTCGATTGGGCACCCGTTGCCATGCCCGGTCGAGGGATGACGGCCTCTCTCTCCAGACTGATGTCTGCGCCCGTAGAGAAGTGCCAAAATTTAAGCCGGCGACAGTGCGTCTCAACCGACACCTTTGTCCACTCAGCCACTCCGTCCTCCCCTCTTATCATCCAATTTATTTTAGAGTAAAAAGTTTATTTTGTAAAAAAAATCAATATAATACCTCAATTTTATTTTATCGCAGCTATAACTATTAATTTATATCATGTTCAAAATAGTCCAAATGATATGACATGCATATATCAGTAGACGTTGGTACAGTAGTCAGCCTAGAAATTTTCAATGTAGTGGAGGGGAGTTTAAAAATAATAATACCTTTAAATGAGCTGTGTTTGGGTAGTACCAAAGACACAAATAACTGGCTTTATGTATCAAGCTCCTAACAATATTGTTTTTAGCTTATAAAAGCGAATATAAGCGTTTGTCGTGTATTCTGTAATTAGAATGGATTTAAATAAATAATACAAAGTAGTTCAATTAAAATAACACCATTAAACATATAACATTTATTGAAATAAACAAAAGAAATATAATATTTGGAAAATAAATTACCCATACAAACGAAAATTCAACCACCTAGCTTTTGCACTGATTTCTCTATTAATTATACAAATAATTAAATAAACATTTGTAGGTAACTATCACTAAATATGGTTTAGTTTTAAATTTTGGATTACAGTTGTATTGTTTTTATTCAGTATTTTAGTGGTTAGACTACAGTTTGATGCAACTGATAACTGATAAGACAAGATTACCCATAATTGTATTGATATTTGATTCCCCAATCCCTATCCCAATATGCCATAGTCATTAATTACCTATGTACTTGAATACGTGCTCACTGATCTGTAGTCTGTATACTAAATATGCTTAAAATCTTTAAATATGCAACATACATTTTAGTACCTCAATTGTATGTACTATATAATATAATGTTCCTAACAAAAAAAAAAAAATTTAAAGTCTTAAACAACTACCCTGTAAAACTTAATAATTTTTTATGTAACATATTAAAATTATTAATGAATCATTTATTTTATTTAGTTGCTGTTTTATAATAATATTTTGTGTACATTTATAGACTTTATCTCCTCCTACTGATGGAATAGAACAAGTACCTACATCTTCATTACAAACAGAAATTGTGGTTCAAAGTGGGTCTACGAGGTATTTATTTAACTTTGGTTGGAATTAAATACATGATAATATAATATACCTATATATTTTTTTTTTTAGTGATGGTGGTCATCCTCATATTCATCATTATTATAATTATCATCCTCCTGGACCACCTGGTCGAATGCATCATGTACGCATTAGTATTGGAGCGCCATCGGGAACTATTGTTAATGTAATTTGGAATGATTTTTTTTTCAACTATACCATATTTAATTATGTAAATACAAATATTTTTAATACAGACAACTCCAGGCTCAACGATCCCATCACAGCCAGGTGCAGAAATACCTCAGATTCCTCAACTAGGATCATTACCCATGTTAACACGTCATTTATCATATCGGCTAGAAGATTACTTACGATTAATGGAACAACGTCGCATTCACATGATGAATCGTGGGGCTTCGAAAGACACAATAGAAAAGAATACTTTTCCTCATAAATACAAACGTGTAAGTATTTAAATTATTTTAATCATTGTACAATATGATATTAATAAATATTTATGAATTATATGATAGATTAAGAGATCATCGGATGAAATGGAAGATAACACAGAAAAGTGTACCATTTGTCTTTCAGATTTTGAGGATACCGAGGATGTTAGGTATGAATTAAAAAAAAAAAACTTATAATAATAATATAAATATTTAATTGTTGTTTTCTAGGCGTTTACCATGCATGCACTTATTTCATGTTGATTGTATTGACCAATGGTTATCGTCTAACAAACGTTGTCCCATATGTCGTGTGGACATCGAGACCAAAGAAACTAAGGATGCTGCTTCTGGTTCACCTTTGCCATCTGAAACTCCATTCATTGTTCCAACATGACACGGAGAACTGGTGGTTTTACCGCCAGCTAATTCGTGTTCAACCTCTTCCCGTTGAATTATGTGTAAGAGTTAGAGGGAGGAGATGCATCATGTTTTGCTGTAATAGTATTCCACTGCTAAATATTAAATTTTATTGTAACCATTTATAAAATTTGTTACCCTCACTATACACTATAGGGTCTTGCGTGTGATAAAATTTTGAAAGAAAAAAAATCAGTCACACTAGTGTGCGCGAGCTTTTCCATTCATATGTGATAATTTTTTTTTTAGCAATTTTGCATGTTTTCGTTTTAGTAGAACTTTTAACTTTTGTGTTTTATCCGTTGTGCAATTAGTTGTCCTTACCCTGCCTTTAATAGAGTAATGGGTATTTTTTTTTTTTTTTTAATGTTGAAGATTTTAAAAAATGTGTCTTATACATTTGTATTATAGATTACCCACAAAATAATACTTTTATTTTTTAAACATTTACATACAACAAATACCTAACATTTTTTGTTGATTTTAATATTATGTGAAAATGTATAGTTATTAGATTTCTTTTTTTATTTCAATATTATTTTTTTAAATTAAATCTCTTAATGTTATCTAAGAGTGCTTTTCTTTCCAACTTTGACAATATTAATTACCATTTATTTTTTATAACATCTGAATCAAGAAATCATTTTACTTTTGTGACTTGTTGTTGACAGTGTTAAACTTTAAACTATATATTTTAACTTAATCGCTCATTATTATTACTGAATCATGTAGTCTTAGGTATCATTATATTATATATATATAATTACATATATATATATTTATTATATCGATAATCAACATTTAAATTTTAGTTTTTGTCCACGGGTCCCTTTGTTTTCTGAAGCAACTGCACGTATTGAGTACGGAAATAATGTGCAAAAACATATCCGAGTTTTTTTTTAATTCGTTTATTTAACTTGATAACATTGTTATCAGAATAATATGTTGTGGTCGTGAGTAGCTATTATGTTGTTTGTAGCGATATATATTAATAATTATTATAATATAATATGTTTTAGTTTTAGTTATTATTTATTATTTATTATTTTGTATTTTTAATTATTTGTGTCACAACTTATCGAATTTACCTATACCCTAAGTACCTGCAATACAAATTATTTAAAAATAAATAAATATTGAATATCAAGTTTAACTATTTAGTATCGGTCGCTTTATATAAAATAATCTTTGGATATATATAATATAGTATATACATATATTTTTTGTCATTTTAACGGATCATCGTGAATAATCTCTTGTTCCATAGATTTTTATCAGAAATTATTTGTAACATGCATAATATACTAATATGCATAGTGAATTTTCTTTCAATTAAATTACCAATAAAATTATCGAAATATTCTACTACCATACGTGCTCTTTAATTATATTTTAATTTATAACGCTATGTTTAGAGAATAACTGTTGTTTGCGTAACAAATTACACTTAACTTTTTAGACATTTTGCATTAAGAAAAAATACTATTTTCTATTCAGAGTAAAATAATTGTCGTTGACTATACTACTGCTGTTTCTTATCTTTTTTTAATTGATCTCTTTAGTTTTTAAGCACATTTGGATTATATATTTTTTAAAAATATAAAATAAAACTTGCAGTGCAAAATCACAAAATAATTGTCAACAAACCTTCTACCCTCCCCAGAATTTAACTAATATTGTTTTTTTTTTTTTTTTGCCAAGTGTATTGTGATAATAATTGAAAACTTTTTAACGAAATTTGTATGTTTTATTTCTTATTATTATGTAACATTATTATTACTTTATTATAATAATTATTACCTCTTCCAGTTTCCATGTAAATGATGTTGCTTTATTATTATTATTATACATATTATTTTTTTTTTATTAGATATTTGTATGCATTTATTTTGTATAACTATATTGTTATATATTTATTTAAGAAAAAATGGAAAATCAATTAGATTTAAAGTTGCCTACTCATGAGTGACAGTTTTTTTTTAATGATCAAAACCAAATTGGGACTTACGCACATTTACACAGCATGTTGAAAATAATTATACATCGCGTGTAGTGTATATGTGAAAGGCAGAAAAAATTATTATTAAAAAATAATTTTTGTTTATTAAAAAAAAAAACAACACTTATAACAGCCATACACCATTGCAATTATTACATAAATATATATAGAGATGTTAACTGGATACATTTTTTGTTGCTATGTGACCACCTTGTGTAGGTACGACAATTATTATAATATATCTTTGAATGACTAAATTAATAATAATTAAAACTATTTTTATTTGTTTGTTCATTACTATATTATGCTCAAAAAAAAAAAAAAAAATTATAATAATTATAACAAATCTTTGTTTTTCACCTATAAAAAATTTAATATAATCATATACCTTGGTGTTTTTATTTATTAAAAAAAGTAATGAAACAAGTTTTGTAGGATTCTTGGTAAGTTTAAGATTTTGGTCGTTGGCTGACATCTCGTGTGTTAATGCTTCTTATTAATTATTTTTTTTTCAGGTTGTTTTGGTTCTTAAATTAATCTTCATCTTCACCAGACTCAGATTCTGAAACAGAAAAAAATTGACATAAATCAGGGGTCAGCAACCTTTGTGATGTGTCAAGGGCCAAAAAATTATAAAATTGTTCATGGGCCACAATTATTTGAATATTACCTTATTTTATTTGAAACAATGTATAATCATTTAAAACTAATATAATTAAATTCAGAACTATTAGACTTAGTAATTTAACAGTTTATTTACAAACAATCAACGGTTGAATTCAATTCCAGTTTATACTAATAAGTGATTTTTATACAAATTATAAATGACTACGAAGGCCGCGGGTTGCCAACACTTGACTTAAAAGTATAAAGACAAATGTATATTTTTTTCTAAAACCAGAATATCAAAGGTCTAATGCGTGAAAGTAATTATCCCAAATTTTGATTATGTCGACTGTGTTGTCAGATGCAATTCAATAGTTAAAACAAAGAGTTCCTACATTAGAGTAAACTATATTATTTTTATTGATACATTTTGTAAGTGAAGTAATAGAACTATACGAACATAAGAGGGTGGAACTCAGACGAAAATGTGTGAGCACCGAAGGCAACTGTTCATTTTTTTTTTTAATATCCCTCCGTTAAGCATTTGATCCATTGCAATATTGAACATAGGCATCACCAAGACGGAGGTTAATAAGTACAAACTACTATATTTTATTGATGAATTCACATTAACTAATAAATAAATAATTCAAGAAAAATGGTGATTGTCACTTATCTTATTAATTTTATTATGTTAAATTGCGATTGTATGAACAATAGAGGGTGGAACTCAGACGAAGATGTGTGAGCACCGAAGGCAACAGTTCATTTATTTATTAATATCCCTCTGTTAAGCATTTGATCCATTGCAATAGTGAACATAGGCATCACCAAGACAGAGGTTAATAAGTACACACTACTATATTTTATTGATGAATTCACATTAACTAATAAATAAATAATTCAAGAAAAATGGTTATTGTCACTTATCTTATTAATTTTATTATGTTAAATTGCGATTGTATGAACAATAGAGGGTGGAACTCAGACGAAGATGTGTGAGCACCGAAGGCAACAGTTCATTTATTTATTAATATCCCTCTGTTAAGCATTTGATCCATTGTAATAGTAAACATAGGCATCACCAAGACGGAGGTTAATAAATACAAACTACTATATTTTATTGATAAATTTACAGTAACCACTAAATAAATAATTGAACCAAAATAGTGATTGTCACTAATTGTCTTATTTTTGATTATGACGTCAATTGATATTGTATGAACAATAGAGGGTGGAACTCAGACGAAGATGTGTGAGCACCGAAGGCAACAGTTCATTTATTTATTAATATCCCTCTGTTAAGCATTTGATCCATTGCAATATTGAACATAGGCATCACCAAGACAGAGGTTAACAAGAACAAACTACTAGCTTGGGCGATGTTATACAGACATGTTTTGTCTCAGTGTTGCAAGTGCGTAACAGCAAATTTTACGCTTTACAGATCAATCACGTTTAGCTGCTTTAGTTTAAAAATTGTCATCTTATCTAATTTAAAGATAAGATTATTATCTAGGCCATCCTATAACTCTTTGTTATATTTAGGATGTACAAATAATTTAAGACACGCATAACTCGCTTTAAAATTAAAATATAATAAAAAGTCTTGAGATTCCTTGAATATTAATATTATCTTTAAATTTTATAAGAAATCAACAATTCAACCTACTTTTTAATCGTGATCTGCTGGGCATAACAATTTTTATGTTACATACTTGTAAAAGGGAGACAACAAATGTCTGTAAAGCATCCTTATACATTTTAATACTATTAATCCTACTAATACATGATACAAAACTAAATATATGTTCATATTTCAAATATTTTTGAATTTATTATAACCTAATATTATACTTTGCTGTAGGATAATAATGTAAAATCAATCGATAAAACTATTTTTATTTGAAAATGTATCCAAGTCTTTAGTATTCAACTGTAATTCAAAATAGTACATCAAATATACTATTAGATTAAAATTGATTTTCATTCATAATTTTATTTTGCCAATTAGTATACAGCAATCATTTCGGGCCTTAAAAATTCATCTAAAATGGTGATTCAAGAGTTATTACTAGATTTTATGAATATTAGAGATTGTATTATGTTAATATACTGGGATTGTAATTGTATAAAGAGGGTGGAACTCATAGATAATATAAGAATGGATAGAACACGCATAAATATAACAGTTTCATATGGGGGCCTTGTGTTTTTTTTGGGGAAGAGAGAAAGACAATATGGGGCTTTTTTTAAGGTTATGTCCAAAAACTGTTTACAATTTTTGTCAATTTCAAATTTGTATTTTGATTGTTGTGCCAGAAAATGGAAATTGGAATACTCAAAATAATCTAAACTTTGCATACATAATT